CGGAGCCATGGGGCGTGCTAGAGCCTTTGTTACAAGGAAGTTCTGCGTACCATGTACCAGACACTACTACTGTCTCATCTGGAGTATTGTGCCACAGCATGGCTACCAAGTCTTGTACAAGGCAACAAGACTCTTATGTCACAGCTGGACAGACTGGTCAACCGAGCTGCAAGGCTTATTACAGGTCACAAACTCCAGGACCATGTCTCAGCGGTTAACCTGCGAGCTGAGGCAGGGATAGATTCTGTGCGCAAACGGACAGAAATCACAACCCTTGTCAATGTCTTTAAGGCAATTCGTGGTAGTGCGCCAGTGTACATGGCATCTCTGTTCAAGTGGGAGACTCCTCCAACATTAAGCGTACGGACTACTCGCTCAGAGTTAAAGCGTCTTAGGGACTACGACCCTCACCTACTCTTCTGTCCACCAGTAAGAGTCACGGCATACCGGAGCAGTCTGCAGTACTATGGTCCTTACCTGTGGAACACTCTTCCGCTACAGCAACGACAGCTCCTTAGTCTCAGGACTTTTAAACAGAACATTAGAAGCAGGACTTCTCAGGACTTTTAATACAGATAATTAGGAGCAGGACTTCTTAGGACTTTTATACAGAGCATTAGGTGCAGGATTTGACACTCTTGATGTTTAGGATGTTGTAATTTAGTAATAGTTTATGTAATGTATATTTGTTGTGTGTATTTTTATATGTATCCAGGATTACCTGAAAAGCAGGCCAAATTGGCCTGAGTTGTAATTACTGGTTAAATAAATAAATTGAAATTGAAAATTGAAATTGAAATTGAAATTGACTAGATTTGAAATACTGGTCCCGTAAATCCCCGCTGTTGTAGAAAAGCGATCCGTCTTAGGGTGAACAGGAAATGCGGGTGATAGGGTATTGATAATACAGGACCGATGGCGCATTGCTCTAATGCCACAGATTAGCCCTGATTCTTCTTTCACTGCACATAAATTTGTTTCGGGCTATCTTTTTATTCCTCACATACATGCACATGTAATGAAGGCAGAATTCGGATCCGGGACAGACAACTAATAATGGTAGTGTTAAGGGGATTCTGCTGATTCTGTTGTACAGTGATAGGAGAGTTAAAAGATATTGTGGTCGTTTTTTTTTTCAGTTTAGTGACTCATTTTTTTCTGTTTAGTGACCTATATTTGTTTATTGACTAGGTCTGAACTGGATAAGGCGTGGTTCCGAGATAATCTCGTATCAGGATGAGGGAGTTGTAGTGAAGAAAGGAGGAATATGTGACGAGGGAGCTTGGGAATACAATTGCAATATCAAGGGTTTGTGGTAAAACAATGCAAGTGTTAGTAAGGCAAGAAATGCTAAGTTACTTTTTTGCGCACCTATATATATATATATATATATATATATATATATATATATAGTGATTTACATGATGTGTCCCATAGAAACAGTTCAGGTCAAAGGTAAAGGGTCAAAGGCCGTGACCTGTCCCATCCCATCAGCCACCTGTCCATGAGTGGTTACTGCGATGCACGGCTTATAAACCATCGATCTGTCACGACCATGTTAGACCTATTTTCGCTACACACATGCGATCGATCAGAGTTTGTCAAAACAGCAGCAGCGACAAGACAAAGAATCCCTTGTTTGATCAATTCCTTGCACAAACGCAGAAATACAAACTACGTGATGAGGAAATAGATTGACATGATAACCAACACGCAAAGTGATCATCAACCTTGAATGAAAATGCAGCAAGGGTACAGCAATCTTGCAATTTTCTTCAACATAGATGATGCATAATATTACCATTGCTAGCACAAGTTCAGCTGCATGTTTTCGTACTTAATGTCGCTTTTTTCCCTTTTATTTCATCGCTAGCTAAAATGAGACCTGAGTTGGTTTCAAAGCTCCCATAATTATAATCCGATTGTGATCTTTTTCACAGGAAGAATCGGTTTTTGTTGGGTGTATTTCTGGTAACGTTCATAATTACATTGTACATCTATGGACTGTGGAAGGTGATTTGTACCATGACTATTGTGAACCAACGTCAAGCCACGCCTCACTGTGCTTTCGGTCAGAACTGCACATCCTCTGAAGCCTGTCAAATATTCAAATGTTACATGACATATCAAACTTCTTTTAAAGATAAAGAACTTTGATATTCAATCATTCGAAAATCTGTTGAAGTTATTTACAGATGGACAGAATTACAGAAGTTAAAATCCCTCCCACACCTTTTGAAGACAAGCAAACCTCTCTGTTCAAATCGAAAAACTGGAAAATGGGGGAAATTGTTCATCTATGGGTTCTGTGTTTTTCTTTATTCCCTTAACAATACTAGTTTTTGTTACACTTATTGTAAATTCTTTTCATATTCCTGTATCAGTTTTTCTTGTTTCCACATGTCCTTTTTTCTTTTCTGTATATTGTATTTGTGATATCTTTATGTATTTGAATATGGATAAAACTGTTAAAACCTTATTTAACCCGTCGTCCTTGACGTCGTCCTAAGACGTACGGTTGTTTGGAGACCTTCTGCTCTGTTTCAGACCTCCTGTGTGTTACATACTACTTACGATAATGCCATGCGTCTGCCTTCAAATCTTCCAGGAAAACAAACGCTGCTAATTTCCCAAATTCCAGCTCCCGGGCAGGGGCGTCGCCTCTCCCGCGGTCTTCCCTGTCATTTGCCCAATTATCTGCGTATCTCCAGATGCTCCTTAATTTGGACGTTTTTCTTTAATGATATATATTTTTCTGGGCCTGTCTGGTGGGTGGTGGTGATTTGTGGCGGTGGCAGATTGCCTCTATCATTGTTGCCTGGGGTTAAACGCACTGTGATTCCGGAGTAAGGTAGTCATAGGACCATCTCTGATACAGGAAATGTCTGCCTCAAGTCGAATATGTCTACAGTAGTAAACAATGTCAAGTCGTATCTTGAAAGTTCAACTATGTTTGTAGAAGTCATTATGAAGCAAGACAAAAATAATTTCCAACACAAGGAATTAGGCCTGCCAAGATTTTCGACTGTGCAACTCCAGTCTTTGTCAAGGATTGCTAATCGCTTCTGTGACATCACGTTAGATGGCACACGTGATTCGGTGAGCAGTGGATCAGATGTTGCAGAAAGTCTGTGACGTCCCCCGTCTTTGTTGGGGGATGGCTGTAATGCCCTGATGTAGTTGGCCTCCTTAATACCCCATGTCTATTCCAACATCTGGTTCGTTGTCCAAGAGTCAGACATACTCTGTAGAATGAGACTGTCTATGTGTTATACTGTGAGACTCGAAGTGGTCGAGCTATGCCAGATCGTCCCTTTTGCAGTGACAGCAATTCTAATCTGTTCTCCTCCAAATAGTCCCAAAGTGACACCTGTAACTTCTTCAAGTGCATGTACTACAGTCAGGTGTGTGTATTTATGTTTTGGCTGCTTGTGTGTTGCTTTGCCTTGCTGCCATGCCTTCTTTAAGTTGGATACTTTTCCTTCTTTATTTCAAGTATGTCTCTACTTACATCAATTTGTTGGCACTTTATTGAAAGACTAAATCCCTAGACTACTATGCTAATCCTGCTGAAATTCCTTCTCTAGTCCTTAATTGTAGGAAGCTAATTAAACCTCCCGTAGACCTAATAAGTCGGAAACTTGAGTCCATCGCCAGTGGCCCTAATTACGCAGAAGTCAATTTGTCTGGTAATCCGGGCAATTTCCCTACCATGGCACACTCCATGTCATTGCAGCACCGTGCTTCATCATAGACTGTCGATAATGTAACTTGGCGACTTCCACAAATCTTCCGGGAATGTGGCGACTTCAACACAACACTTACGGGAATGCAGCGACTTATGGACAACTCTTCTGGGAATGCGGCGACTTTGCGAACAGCTCTTCCGGGAATGAGTTATGCAAACAGGCTCTCAACTCACTGCCAACTAATAAGTTCCTATGGATCAAGTGCTGTGTGTTTTGAAGTATGAAGTATGTGTGTGTTCTCGGCCTTTTTCGAAATAGAGTGGTTTTTAGTCCACCATTGGGCGCTAAATAATTTTAACGTTTTACTGCATCTTTCCATTAGGCTTATATAGTCCATACTATATGTAATCTGGTAACTTATTTCATGAACTTTCAAGTTTTCTCCCCATATAATGAATTTACCACATCAATTCAAATGTATTCATTGACTTATTGATTACTGAAAACGTGCCAGGATTTCCAAAGACTGCTGGTTGTTGAAGTAGTGGGCACCTTAAGTTTGTTCCAGAAGTTGACGGCGAGAAGCCACCGATGTCAGCTGCCGTGTGTCTGTACTAAAGTCTGTATTATCAGACGAAGGATCCCTGCATGATGGAGTGGTAAACGATTCGTCCTGCCCGCAGGCACGCCGAACTGATGAACGTAATTGGGGTCTACCTGTGGAGCAGGGAACGACCCATTAGGCCGGGAAATAGGGGTCATGAGAGAAACCATAACCGACGGGGACAGCTTACGTCTCTAACGAGCCCTATAGGGAGCCAAGTCATAGACCTCGTCAAGACAGCCAGGTTATGGGAGGGGATCAGCTCAAAACCTTTCAAAACGAAGTCAGGTTTAGTCCAAAGATCGATTACCCGTTGGTGCACTCTAGACGATGCAGAAAGAAAGACGAGGCAGAAAGAAACCGCTTCTGTGTGCTTTAAAATCCCTTCCCCTCCTTGAATGTTGTGCATTTTCTGATCTGTTTTATAAACAATAAGGATAAGCAATAAGCAAGAAGGATAGCGCTGTTGAGTTTACACTACTAGTCACACAGTACACATTACATATTCATTGTCGTCTGTCATCGGTCTCGGACCAAACAGCGATTGATTGAAAACGTCACAATACATTAACAATCAGACCTGACAACACTCTACCCAAGACGTGCAGTTTTCGTTTACATACTCCTTACTCACCTCTGTATGAAAGTTATGAAAATATGTTTGAACTGTTTTTTTTTTATTATATGTACCCATTTGTGTTTTGCAGATAGTCATATCCAGCGTCATCACAACAACCGGAACCGAAATCAGCAAGACGAAAACTTGAAGAGGTTCGCGCGTGCGCTCTACGACTACTACCCGCAGGAGGAAGGCGAGCTCCACCTGCAGGTTGATGACGTCATCGAGATCGTGAACAGAGATGACTCTGGTTGGTGGTACGGGCGGACCCGCGGGAAGGAGGGGCTCTTCCCCGCCAACTACGTGGAAGTTACCTCGTTGGGAGGTAGGGGGCGTTTCCTTTTCCTGGAATTCAGTATGTTGAATGTACTAGGGTACATATACACATGGCTTTAAACGATGTTCTTGGTTACAAATTGTTGTTAGACAATAATTTATTTCATTTATTGAATCGTTTTATTATTAAGTATTAAGGCAGACACCTGGCGAATGTGAACATAAATAAGAAGAGAAATAATACATGGCAACAAGAACGAAATACAATACCTCTAACAACTACATGTACTTCTGCAATACAAGGTTTAAATGGTGCTTCCAGAATGCACTCAGATTGTACTCAATGCAATCAGAACCTACGAGTATAAGGATAAGTTCTGACAAAAAGTACATGCATCTCAGCTCTCTATAGTTCAATCCATACATGATTGAAAGATCATACCTTATTTAAAGTATCAAAGAAGAAGTAGTGAGCTTAATCATTAGTCGTTGTGGCCTTAAGTTCGTACCAACTTTTGTTGTGTGTATTTCTGTATCTGTCTGCTTCAACTCTGCGTCTCATTTATATTTTAATCAATTCAGTAAGCATTACCAATACCAGTTAGTTATACAAACAAACAATCACAATCACCAAACCAAACCCCCCTCCGGATCCCGTCTTTTTAAACATCCTCCTCTGATACAGGGCAGTCACCAAACTTTCTCTTTTTAGCCCGTCGTAAAATAACGGCAAAACGTAACCAGCCGTATATAACACAGCGTTCAAAGCAAAGCCTGGTGATTTGGGAGAGTCAAAGAATCGAACCTTGGCAAGCTCGTTACGCTGGCATGAATGGGAGATCCCTCTAATTAATGGCACTCTATAGTACAGATACGTGTTGAGTAAATCGCCCTTGCTATGAACGACCTTTTCTTGAAAAGACGGCGTTTGAAAATGGCCTCATTTGTGAAGATGCGATGGTGGTGATATCGCCTCTCGCCTTTCTCTGATTTGGTTATCCATACAATCCTGTAATCCGATAATCCAGGCTGAGCCTGCAGTCTGCTGATGGATGGACCGTGACCTTGTCTTGATGTACGTCACGGATGTGTATTCATGCTTCTTCACCCATCGATCTCAGAATTATACGTGTCTGTGAGGTCTTAAAGGACTATTACAAGATAGGCCAGGCTTAGCGTGTATCTACATATTCAGGTGTGGACTTGAAGATGTGTTTCGTGACACAGGGGAGATGTGAGGAGATGAAATCTCCATATTCTCATATAACTTTATGATCCGCGTATTCCACATGTGGCCTAGCGCTGCACAAACGACGCATAAAGTCACACACCCTTAACTTGTATCATAACATCAAAATGTCTGAAAGAAGATCGTGCGTTTGAAAGTATTCTGCCATGATTTTTGATCCCAAAATGAAACGATTTCTGTGGCAAAATTTGGCAGCAATACTATCTTGCTCCAAACTATAGATCTTACAGGATGCATCTTTGAAATTCAAATTAACAAAATTTACATAGCAACAAAGCTTTGTAGGTATTTCAAAACTAACTGGGGAACGTTCATAGTAGCAATTAAAGGTATCAATGTAGACTAGTTTTTTTTTTTTGTTTGCCGTCCTGAAACTGCATAGGATGCCATTAATGGAAGTGACAGAAATATCAGCATATGTACTGCTTAGCCTCAAGTTTGGCCGCCATCTTGTTCAGACGTACTGGGCCTAAACTTCGCTGGGGTGGGGCAGTCAGCGTCACTGGTCTTTCGACTAATCGAAAGGATTATGCCTTCGATACCTCAAACCGCTTCCCTTTGGAACAAAAAAATCAATAATTGTTCATTCTGTGATCTCACCCGTAATATCGGAGTCCAAACGCATCCAAATATCTGCTAACTTTCCGTAGACCAGTTGTCTTGAGTTAAACTTTGTTTAAGATTTTCAAACCGAGAGTTGGTGGATGGCGTGACAATCCGATGTATTAGTCGAACAATCTTTCCTAGCGACACCCGTTCGGGTAGCGTTATCTCAGCGCTACACCCGGATATCTCGACCTCCATTTCTCGGGGTCAGAGCCGCTCCCCACCTGCCGCGAGTCCCGCTCCGATGCCGTGATACCCCGCCTGATCTGCCAGGTGTGCTGACGGGTCGTTAATAAAGGGTTTAGCGCCTTGATATTGTACCAGCTTTGCCGAGTGTGACGTTTTTTCTGGTACGTAGATTTTCCCGACAGATTTGAGTTGAGCGTCCCGCTGTGCGAGATGGTCAGAATACCGATTTTTTTAATGCTCGCAACTTGTGCCATCATCCAGACATCCACGGCCGAAAAGTACGATTAATTTATTTATTTAGATTTTCTCATAGTTTATTTTCTTATAGTTTAATTTAAAAGCCTCTTGTACGATTTATTTTTCAATTTTTATTTTCTCATAGTTTATTTTCATTATAGTTTAATTTAAAAGCCTCATTTTTGTTAGCTTTGAGCTTCAAATAGAAGATAGTCTCATCGACAAAGAGTAGAAGCTACTGGTGGATATACTACAATAGCAGGACCTTGTCTGATTCACCCCCACATAGATTAACGTGAAACCTAGTAGATAATCTTGCAGAATTTTCAATTGGTATCAATGTGTGACATGATAAACAAGTCATAACGTCACAGAATAGATTGTAGTTACTGATAACTAAGATAGATGAATCTCATCATTTGAATACTCCTTCCCCTATCAGATTATCTTGTCGAGCTCCATTTAGAAAAAAGAGCATCCTGACGTCCCCTGATTGGTCAGCTCTTGACCAATAAGGAAGACGAAGTGTGATTTTGAACCTGTTTCCTCCCAGGTGATCTCGAAGTGGAGCCCCCCGGGCAGGAGTGGAACCCTGTTTTCCCGTCCTGTGAGGAGGTGGACGCTACCACCCCGCTCATGGACGGGCATGCCCCCGCCATGGTGAGGGAAAGACCATTATTCATTACAAAAGGATAGCTTCCTTTCAAAGGTGAAAACATATGTACTTAAGGTGCCTGCCAATCTTCCTCTAAGCTTCCTTTTCTTGAACCACCTCTTAAACACTAACCATCCTCCTGACTCAGTACACAAATATTCCCAAAATGTCTGCTCCTAACGAAGCATGCCCATGAATTCCTAGTTAGCACGTCGTTTAGGACTTGGCTGTATGCTTGCTCTCTCTCTCTCTTATTATGCAGTTCTCTGTTCTATTTTTGCCGGGCACAGAAGTACCATTTTGTTTTAGAGGTTTTGCCGAAGCCCTATGCTTATGAATCTGAATATTGTTTGCACCTGAACATTCGCATGCCTTGCTCGTCACAGCCAAACTTTTTCACTAGCAAATAAGCACTGAATTAAATCGAATGCCACGTAAAAACTCCCATCTCTAATAGAAAAACAAGTACTGGAAGTCTAGCTCAGTATCAAATCATTGCACAGGGTACACATGGCAATTTCGAGGGATAAACCGCATGTAACAGAATAAACCGTGTAAAAAATCATTACAAAACACAAGGAAATAAACCTCTCTTTGTTTCGCAGCTTGATTAAGGTTCCTTGGTCAAGGGATCGTAAAGGATGACATTTATTAACATAACAGAATTAAAAGCGTGGTACAACCACCCAGGTGCCTGTGACCCGCCAAATACATAATAACATGTCTAAACGATCCGTCAACCTATGTGCGTTTGGATTCCAAAGAATGCTGTTGTGTAAGCTAATTTCTGGTTGTCTGGTTTATTATTTAGACCAATGTATGTCAAATTTCTGTTTCCCCTCCCAGACTGACCCTGACCAGGAATACGGCCCGTCAGAGAGTGATGGTTCCCAGACCTACCAGCACCACCCGCACGAGTGGCGCATCCATCCGGACCGGGAAACGTCCTATTCCGGAGGCCACAGCAGAGAGATGGTGGACTTGACGGAATCCGGAAGCACTTCAGACTACGGTGGCAGTGCCCTGAACGGCACAGATTCCGGAAAGGAGAGTGTCCAGAGCTGGGCCGAGACGATCAAAGTGAGATGACGGCCGTATTCCAAAACTTGATGCAGACGGCATGGACACAATATGTCAAGTGAAGAGAATGCGCATTTGACGACTGATGCCATATTTCGTCCGCTCGCATTACCCTGATCAGCGAGGTCGTTAAGACAATGGGTCGCCTCTCCGGTCAGTTTGATGCATCAGATTACGGCACTTTCCAAGATGCCTTTCGCCAGGTTTTTGAAATGACTCACGGTCACGCATATGCAATGTTGCCGCAGCAGCACTGGTAAAGAAGATGCCAATCTATTAATTCCGACGGACGCAACGGGCGGCTCCGACATGCCGAGAAATACGCAAGGACCGTATGATCATTGGTGTTCTCTTGTTGTGGTGCCCTCACTTCAAAGCTTAAAGATACGGGCAAACTGGGTGTGAGAACCCATATAGACAGATGAAACATTGTACAGGATTGGTTGGCAGCAAATGTTGAACTCTTCGGCAATATCTGAGCACTAACTACGACGTCTACAACACTTGCGTCTTCTGAAGGGTTATTGAGAAGTGCAGTTGACTGGGAGACGATCTGAGTATTTCATCTATACCAGATTAACAAGACTTCTGAAGCTAAGGTCCCAATTGGGAAAAGGGGCCCTGGCGGGTAGTTCCCGGGCTATTTTTAACACTTTCGGGCGGGACCCCGACGTGGCCCCGCGGGGCACCCTGCGGCTACCGGGCTATTTTTTTGCCCGTTGGGGCCCCGATAAGAATTTAATTCTGAGTTAAATTCTACCCGGGCACCGCTGACAAAAAGACGCCGTGACCTCATCGTGAGAACACCGAGAGGTACCCCTCCGGTTGCCGGCATTCCACCGGGACACATTTCTTACGTCACAGACCAGATGAACAGAATAAAGGTGTGTACTTCGTAAATCCGGGTAAAATGTGTGACCTCACAGATCAAATGATCACAACAAATACGTGAATTCTGCATTACGTATAGGTCAGTACAAGACATCATCAGAGAATCTGCCGGGTGCCTGCCGGGTGCCTGCCGGAGACCGACCAAAGAGGGTGACAAAATTTTTAACAAAATGCTACTGAAGGAAACTTTTAATTGTGACCACGGCAGCCGATGCCCGCTCGACTCCTGAACCCGGCCGGGGCCAGCCGGGGCTACATCCCCGACGGGCACCGGCGTAATTGGGACCTTAGCTTTAGTGGATAAAACAGGAAGGAAGCAGACACAGCATCAAAAGTAGTTATAGCCTGATCAGTGGTTGCTGCGAATGACAATGTGCCCGACTAACGAACATGCTGGCTACTCGGTCAACAGTGAAAACTTTTCTTGCAAAACTTGGCCGGAATTGAAGATCCTCGCAATGGACGTGTGCAGGCGACATGGTATATATATTCTTATAAAAGTATCCTTAGGCAGTTCTGGCAATCTTGACTTTCGTAACATTCTTGCTGATGCAATCAATAATGAGGACAACATCAATGAACTACATGTCTCTGTCAAAGCCAAATATTTGGCCACTATTTTGATGTACATGACACTCTTGTACTTAGGGGTGGACCAGTTTATTTCCACGGGAGTGGGAACTGTTCAAAACAATTGAGCCATGCAGTGTATTTCCCTGGTACGATTTTGTATAATTTCTATCCTTCAAACACAACAATACAAGTTCCTCTTTCAATCCCCAAGTCGAAATCAGCTGGTCTACCACTCACTGGATTATTACTTGTGATGGTTCTTCGGACGACGAAGGCCTAGGATTTCACCCTGTAAAACAACCGTCAAATCTGCCCCTGAAACGACAATAACCCGCATTTCATCGCCTGCAGAAAGTGCTCTTTAGATAGATGTCATGACGGACGAACGCTTTTTCCAGGGGGTGTAGTTTACAGCCGGTGTTGAGCGCCGTCCAGTAACGGCCAAGACTTAGCATAAATCACAGCTTGTTGGAAAATAGACTTAGCAATTTTGAAAACAAAAACGTTCAGAGATGATATGGGATGTTTGTAACATTGCAAATAGCCTTGATATACCAAGATGAGTCTACATTAGACATAGTTTAGTTTCTGCTAAGCGCCTGGGTTCAACGGAACAGTACAGACGCGCAAGACAGACGGTTTTAGTACAATATCGCAGGATGGTTACTGGATGTAATATTGAGATGTTTCTTACATGCTACTCTTTATCATTACAACAGCGTACCGGCAACATTTTGTATGAGTCAAAGAACGTAGGCAAGACATACTGCCGCTTTATACTTGATAATTATCCCCCGCCAATGTGTTGTTTAGAGTTCATAGATCCGGTAGGAACATTTTCCTTTCCCCAGGTATTGTGCCGTGAGAGATGCCGTTCTATCTTCCATGTATTACCGGCCTAGAATCAATGTTTACTACTACTGGATATTAAAGATATTGCATTAAACATAAAATGGTTATGCCTTTTTTTTCTACTACACAGCAATTTGGGGAATGTCAGTGGTTTAATTTTCTTCTTTTCGTTTGATTTCCATGGCATGGATGCTTAACTTGTATCCAAATAGGCGCCCAGCGGTTTGAAAGCATGTTCAACCTTTAGGGGCAATGACTGTATCTATGATTAAGAAACTTTTCAGTTTTACTTTGTGTGGTACACGACATGTCTGGCGCCTGACTGAAGATCAACTTCATTGTAAACTTGCAATATCAAAAAGGTCATGACATAATTTAACCAGCCAGTGTAACTAATCTTCGTGCAGGATAGTAAACGTCAACGTGCTGGAAACTATTCAGAAACTTCGTTAACCCGAAACAAAGCCGAGACAGGAGGATGGATTACGACTATACATTGGTAAAGGTTAGACACCCAGGTTAAAAATTCAAGCTCTACTAATGGATTAATTACGGAGAATACTTCCGGACGTTTCGAGCGACATCCACCACTCTTCTTCGGCGTTATACAGTATACATATATATCGTACGAGTCTTTGATATGTTCAACCTTTTTTCCAGTAACGTTGCTCATAAGTGTTGAAACTTTCTGTTACTTAGTTAATTACGCAGAAGAAGAGTGGTGGATGTCACTCGAAACGTCCTGTCAGTACAGTAATCTCCGTAATTTATCCATCCAGCAGTAGAATTTGAATTTTCTATAATCACGACTGTACTCGTATTTACAAACATCCATACAATACTGTCGCCAAAGTTCAATAACGACATTGAAGAAGTTGTTAATTTCGCTGTTCGTTCACCGATTTATTGTCATATTTGCCGTATTACGGGGAGGGGGGGGCAATCTGTACAATATCTTCAAATCGGAGCAGCTGTCATCATGAAAAGTTATGGACAATGTCTAAGGTCGTACACGGTTTGCAAATTGCTGAAATGAAATGTCCAATGTAGTCTGAGTTTTATAGGCCTGGCTGATCACCAGTGTTCACCGTGGAGGGTATAAGGGTCGCCCCAAAGTTTATTACAAAACTTGGCCAGTGTTGAAATATACAGCGTAATTTGTTTCTTGGACCACATCCATGAAAGAGGTCCGCAGAATTATTCCTCGAGTAAAGCACTGGCGTGGTTCCATAGACATTTTGGATTAAATACAGTAAAGACATCACCTCAAATTTCCGTAGGTCACGTGCTCAAAGTAATGGAATAATCACTAATAATCACTCCTGTGGAAGGTTGACGGAAGAGCAACCGAAAAATTGAGATAAGCTGTTTTTGTTGTGTTAATCGAAAGTATAAAATTTCACTATGGAATTTACCTACACAGATCAGCTTTCGTGCTAACACTGGGGGTTATTTGTGCCAGAGATAACAAGAAAGCCTCTGTTTTCGTAAATAGCCGCTACAATATATGTCTAAGCAGAAATCCCTGCCAGATGACAGTCACACATTCCTGTTGAGCAAGAGCAGATTTGAAACGTGACAAGACTGCAACAATTCTAACTAAACTCTCAAAATTGCTGCGCCGTCACCCATGCAAGGGTGGCGTCAGTGCCAGGATTCCACCAGGAAATTAAAGCACACACACATAGCCCAACTCTCCTGCGGTACTTATGCCTAATGTATAGGTCTTTCACTCCACTAGAGACATCTCCCTGACACTCATCCCCCCATTTTCATCAGTGCTCGCTGACAACATTGCCTTTCAAGTCACGATGAATACCTGAAGATATTACAGACCTGAGATAATTTGCACGCCGAGCTTATGCAAAGGACAGTCCGCACTTTGAAACTTGTGTGATCTATCCTCGTTAGCCATGGCTGTAAGACTGCGTATTAGGAATGACTGGTCGTGACAGTAACGATGTCGCAAGCTCTACACGAAATATTCATTATCCCATGCATCATTTGCTGAGTCAAGGTTCCAAGGAAGGAAGTATCGTCCGTCAAATAAATGTTATCTTTGTGTGACTGTAATGAAGTAAAACCGACCCATGAAGTACGGCTGACAGTCTTGCTTTTGGCAAGGATCATACATCAGAGTAGTAGGACCCAGGTGGGTTTAACTTGTTTTTCTGTGCCTGCATACATAACAGGTCTGTTCTGAGTCGAGTCGTGTTGAATTGTTACAACAAATAACCATCTCCGACTGTCACGCGGCCCGTTCCGGGCTATCAGCGGTTTTCGTTGTAGTTCAAACATTTTATTGGGGAGGGAGGGGGGGATATTATGCCTGTATTGTCTCAACAAATAACCAAATTATAATGATAGTCAAAGTAAAAAGTTCAACTTTTTACAACAAATACCAAGTTCGACTGTTTTCAAACCCGTTTTCATATGTTGCCTCTATTTTCGTTGTAGTCAAATATTGTAGGGGCCAACGGGGGCTGAGAAAGAAGAATATGTTGAGAACAAACTGTATAAAGTCGTCTGTGTTTGTGGAATAGTGTTCACATTCCGTGACGCAATGCTGTTTATTGTCTTACAATGACTTTAACAGTGTATGATAACAGCAAGCATGTGAATGTGGTTCGCTGTAATTTTGGCCACAAACTTAGCTTCGTGGTATTTCTTAGCTAAGTCGCCAGAGGACGCTCCTTACATGTGTGACTATGGAAATCGATAAATGTTGTCCACGATTGAATTTCTGTGTCCTATTTTCGGAGAGTCTTCCATGTTTGATCTGATTTAAAGCCCGAGACAAGTGATTATTCTCACGGTCCTTACAGCCTGTCTCACTGCTAATCAAAAAGTTTGTCAGGCAGAGCAAATCGCATCAAAACTTGGCGACCGGGAACGAAAACAAATTCTAAAAGGAATGCCGCAAAGTTTACACATGCCGCCATGCTTATTGCTTGCTCTTTCTGCTAGAGGATTAATTCTGATCACGTGAAAAATCGATCTATACCAGGAATGGAACTCTCCAAGTACATCATGGGCTTTTTTAATCTATACTGAGAACTTTGCTGGCTTTGTTCCTCCTGAAACATGCAAGCCTCTCAGTCAGTGTGAGAGCCCCGCGTGAGAGCTCTCGTCTGATCTCTATAGCAACGAGAACTATGTTTAAACATCGTGACGTCATGAGTACGTGCTTGTCCAACGTGCGGGTTGCGTGAAAAAAAACTAAACATATGGGTTTGATATTCATAAGTTAACTTGGTGTATCTTATGAACATGGTGTATGTTTGCACCATAACAAATATTTGTGTCACTTCCGAGACTGAAACACAATTCGTCGCAGTCGTGTGAGTAAATTTAAAGTTTTTCGGTCGCCTCTAGGCTAAGGAAATACCTAATTCTACCAGCAGGTACGTGGAAGATTTCGCTTTAAGAAAATTTTGCCCTGGGCAAGTGGCGGATTGATTACTAATTTTGACGTCATGGCAATTTTGTGATTAATTGCTTTTCTAGTAATTCTACATGCCAGTATTTAGTAGCCTGAAGACTGCGACAAAGCAACTGTAGTATTTACTCATATGTGAGAAACTTTAATAAGTGTATCATAGAAAACATTGAGCAAATTTTCTGTGTACTTCATGATCGTCTGTGCTTTTGTGCTTTGTCGGTTTTCCAAGAATAGCGGCTTTAGCCACGCCCACACTCACCTGTTGGGGGTCAAGGGTCATAAGAAGTAGGCCGCCCAAGGACGGGTGCACGGAAACTTCGACCGGATCGCAGCTACAATTTCCTTCGATTTTTCTCCATGTGCGGGCACTGACGACTATATAGGAGGTAAGAACGGTTGTTGGGGTTTTGAGGTTTTAAAAGTAAAGTTTTCTCTATGTTCCGCTCACGAAAAGAGACATTTTATGTGTGCCAAAGTTGGTGACTACTTCGCCGGTCAACCGGCATACCACCACTCCTTATATTATGTTCTTAAAAATTGGTAAATGGTTGAAGAACTAGAGTATCTGTTATAATATAAGTTTGTAAATTGTGGACGTAGTATCGTGTTAAAATATTATGAGTGCCTATCACTGAACGCTGGAATCACCCGGCATTTCGTCACACCAAAAAATAGCCTCAACAAACACCTCGGTTTTTTCAAAAGTCTACTTCCTTGTATATTGGGGAGGGGGGTATGTGTATTCAAGACAATCCCCCAGTTCCTAGTAACGAATATGACGTAAATTGTGGATTTGATTTAGCCGCTCCCACGGTCTACAATTGCAATGGGTTGGCCTCTACCAGGCAGCCTCTGGAAAAAGGCTAGAAAGTGGCCAATACTTAGTAGGCAGATAACATGCCAGGGAGGTTGTTGTGCTAAATGAGTACAAATTTTCTTTATTGAGATATGGAAAAAAAAAGATTAATTTTTACATTTGCCGCTCTGAAAACCTGTTGGGGCATGCCGTCTGTCTGTATGACTGCTGCCAAAGCCTGATAGAGGCTAAACAATGAGTGTGAAACACAGTATTCTGTTAAATCAGTTTAATATTGTTTAGCCAGGTGAACATTAGGTCTTGAGTCTAGACTGTACGACTGTGGCCGTTTTTTTTAGGTAAATCTTAACTAGAAGCTTGAAAAACAAAGTTCTGTAACGTCATATAATACCCCTACACTTATAGATAGTGAAATAAGTGGCATTTAAAACTTAAGCACAACCTGTATTTGACTCACAGATCCAGAGTTCAAAGCTATATGACATGATGCCACCCGTTGTCAGTGTTGTTTTCACCTTATAGACTAAAGAACATGGAACAAGATCGGACTGAAATTCATAGTCTGTTTACACTTGTCGTAACCAAGCGTGAAATAGTGGATTCCAAAAGTGATGTGCTCATTTGTATGAGTTTTTAAATAAGCACCTACTACTAATGAGGCCTTGACACAAAGCGTCTCACGCAACCAATGAATTAAAGGCTTTGACCATTCCACCCCAGTAGTTTTTCTTAACAATGATCAAAAAGCCTTAAGTAGAACTCCGGAAAAACCTTCACGGGGTATGGGTAAATCCTGCTGAGGATGTTGTCAGTCCCCGACGGGCATTGGGCAGTTTGTAATGTTATGGAAACGTATAATGAAATTAAGTACCCAATCAATCCTTAGGTTTTTTGTACTAATTTATAATGCTTAGATTCAGTACCTTGTACAGTTTCTAATGCTTTATGAGTGAGTTTTCTGTGATGAAACATAGACGGTCATTGTGGTTTCACAAGGGTGACCATAGCATAAATTGTCAGCAGGATGTCATATTTAGAAAAAGCCCCCCAAAATTTGGGTTACGCATAGGTGCAGTACGTTTTACTGATGTGCTGGTGACAGTTGATCCAGACTGTTTGTTGTTATGTGAGTCACCTGTATCCTCCCACAGGAAGGAAGGACATGTTTGCCTCCAGGTAAAAAGAAACAGGTCAGACAAATATTTCTGGTTAATCCTGTGGGACTGCAGAGTCAACAAGCTTTGTTGGTGTCTGTCTAGGGGGCTTTAGGATATTTGCAGTGACATTAATAGAAAGACGACTCTAACACTATAGGAAGGCACCACTATTGTCATGAGTTCTCGTGATGTTTGCTTGATAAAACTTCTGTTAATTGCATATAAATCAAGTCACAGGTGGTCACACTGTTTTGTCTTATAAAATCTGGCTGTCATGGCAATTGTTTTTTTAACCGATAACTAACACTAATTAATTCCCTTCTTGTGGATTTGATGATACAGTAATTACAGATTGTACATGTTTATGTCCATAGGCTGAGAGTAAATGACAATTTGGGAGCTCAGGTGACCACAATGAGAGGCCGTCACCATTTCCTTCCAAATCATCCCTGCCACCTTTGGGGACTGCTACTGTGTGTGCTGATCATCCCAGCAGGTATGTTTTATTGTCTTTGTTGTTTGCTGCTGTTGTTTCCTTTGGTTTCACGAAAGCCGAATCCGAGTATCCAACAACAACCAAAGCTGTGTACAATCATGTGTTACGCCAAGGGGCGGTTATACTGGCTATACAAATACAGATATTTATTTATTTATTTCTGTCATTTTTATACAGGGTAACCCAATTCAGTGATGGCACTGCTTTTCAACGGGGCCCTGTATTACACAGCACAGTACAACAATCACATACAAATACAGATCGCAGAGCCAATTGATGTTAAACGTTGTAAATTAGCACAGATCAGAACTACACGTATAAACTTTTGTAATGTGTATTCCTTCTGGTGTGTTTCAGAAGCAGACACATCGCTGTCACTGTTTGACTTTTACGATGAGAAAGCGTTGGACGGCCACAATACTGAACGGATCCCAGGAATTACCCAGGAGGAGTGCGCTACACGGTGTTTAGTGGGAACTTCTAACGTTCCACTTGGAACGTGCCTGTCATTTGATTATGACACGAATGGCAATGGGGCCTGTATCCTGAGTACAGCAAACATGTACACACCTGGAGCAACTGTAGCTACCAGTAACCCACGGTCGCGATTTGACTACTACCACAGGAAAGGTATGACATTCTCTCTCACACATGTGCTTATAATAATGCATTATTTTATTATCTACTAGTACATTAAAATGTAGTACTAACGGTAGTATAAATTATTGCTTTCCACCTGTGTGTGTGTGTGTGTCAGACTCTGTGTTTCTGCAAACATGTGGTCAGCATAACTTAAGAAGGCCTGTGTGGATTATGATGATATTTGGTATGTGGGAAGGTGGTTAGGTCTTAGAAAGACACAAGTCAAGGTCAAATTTGGGCCTCCATGTGGCTGACCTTGGTACTGCAACAGAACTTTTGGTTTTTGTATCAGTCTGAAATATTAGTAGGATCATCAAGTTTAGTGTTCTTATTATAATATAAACTTGCATCAGCACAGAACAGCTAATAAAACTTTATCAATATTTCAGAGGGAAGCATGTTTGAGAAGCACGACAACAAGGCTCTGAGTGGGTATAACAACCAGGCTATTGGCAGCCTCACTGCTGGCGAATGCGCGCTCAGATGTCTACAGGGGACGTCATCTGTACCAGCCGGGACCTGCAGGTCTTTTGACTATGACAGGAGCAGAAGTTTGTGTGTTCTCAGCACTGACAGCATGGAAACACAACCTTCAGCCTTAGGAACAAACAACAACAATGATTACTACCATAGGAAAGGTGAGTACAACATGCATGTAAGGCCACACCAATTTAATCACTTGGTTCTTGTCTGCTTCATTTTTTCTGATGTGCAAAAAAATAGATTCAGATTGTGAATAAACTAAAAAATGCTCATATTTTGGCCCAAACTGTTTACAAAAGATCTGGGGCAAAGTATGTACTACTAGCTAATTTATTATTATGATAACGTGTCATATCATAAAGTAGTGGTCATGCATAATGCATTTATTCTGTAATTTATTTGTTTCTTGCTGTTTAGATCCATGCTACGATGGCCCTTGTCAAAATAGCGGCATTTGCACCCATATTGGATACATCAGTTTCTCCTGCGCATGTACTGGTGGTTGGACTGGGGATACATGTGAAACAGGTATGGCCTTGTAATTAGTATGGCAATATGTTTGCAAAAAGAAAGATAAGATGTATTTGTCCTCAATAGCTATAATATCAGTGTTACAGTATATGTATGTAAGTCAACGCAACATGATTTTAGCCTTTTGATAATATGTAAAAGGCTATAAGAAGCACTCTGTTTTCCTCTACTCATTTGTTTGTCTGTTTTTGCTAGATGTCAATGAATGCAGCACAGGTGCACACAACTGTGACCAACATGCCACCTGTACCAACTCACCTGGTTCCTTCAGCTGCACCTGCAATCCAGGGTACCACGGTTCTGGCACGATGTGTGAAGGTAATGTGTATTCAAGTTTATGGATCCTGTGGGATTGTGTGGCTTAATGCAGTGTTTGACTCAGAGCCAAGAGGTCCCAGGTTCAAATCCTGCCCAATGCCAATGATCTTTTGCCCTTGGGAAAGGCACTTTACACAACTTTCCTCACTTCACTCAGGTTGACCTCATGAGTATCTTTGGTTAGGGATGTCCCACAGATAGGATGTTAAATTGAGGTCTTGTGTTTAGGGAGAGCCAGACCCCAATCCTACTGTCTGGAGTTGGTGATTCACTTCAAGTCACCCAGCAAAGGTCTTGCAAACCTTTGTCTCATATCAGTCATGCCAGAATAATCTGTTAGATCGTGGGCTGCTTCATGATGAAGGAAAGGTTAGGAAGGAAAGTTTCAATTCAACTTACAGGTTACATTCAAATACCGGTAACACGAATGACTTTGTTGCATGCACAGAGTATAATACGTGTAAAATTTGCAGTTTCAGTGCCACCTGCAGTAACACAGCAACCACAGGATCAGACCAGAACCTTGGACCAATCAGCCGCATTCACCTGTGTCATCCGTGGTGACCCAGCACCCAGCATCACCTGGTATAAAGGCGGTACGGAGGTAACACCTGGTGGACGTTTCAGTATAGGAGAAATGTCAGATGAAGTCCAGAACACAGTGACCAGTACACTGACCATCAGTGGAGTGAAGCGGGAGGACAATGGACAGTACACGTGTAGGGGAACAAACAGTGCAGGCACTGACTCATCAGAAACAGCAAGTTTGACCGTACAAGGTAACTTTCTTTCCAAACAGGGAGTTTGATCATACAAGGTAACTGTCTCTCAAAACAGTGAAAATCTATTTGATCGTACATGTACAAGGTACACATGTAACTGTCTTCCCTTAACAGGGAGGTACATCGTAAATATGTCAGAGCATTCTTACACTCGAGTGTCATAATCTTGGTTACTGAGAAAATACTTGAACACTTGGGCTATCATAGACTTACAACATCCAGATGTCCTTCAATCAAAAGTCAATGTTCATAACATTGTCAGGACTGTCCCAACAGTTAATGGTGACCAGCCCCTCCATGCCACTTGCTACATAATGTAATCACTAATATGCACACATTCTAATTGTTTCCATTCAGAGCGACCAGACGACATCTCGGTGCAGGTAACACCTCTGACCTCCACTGCCCTCCATGTATCCTGGACGGTGGGAGTGACCGGTAACCTACACGTCGACCAATCAGGGGTGAGCTACAGGCGGAGTTTGGATGAGCCGTGGAGTGAGGCGGTCATTATTACACACCAGTCCTCCGGAGCAGGAGGAGAACCCACAGGATCACAATACACACTGGACAGCCTGTCTCCCTCTACTCAGTACACAGTCAAAGTCAGGGTTAGAAACTCCATAGGATGGAGCGATCCTGCTTTGGGGGCTGGTACCACACTGGATGCACGTGAGTTGTTTTTACATTTGCATACCTTTGCATTACAAGCAGAGTTGTCTTAAACCATCCTCTTGGCCATCAATCTTAAGAGGGTAGTCAAATAGTATAGGAGCCTAGCCTTGGTGAGGATACTTGAAGTGGTCATTGATTACTTGAAGATTGTAGAATTTGCCTCATTTGTTTGCTAAGGAGGCAAATGTACAGTAATTATGAACTCATAAACTAAGGTAGGCCTTTAAAAAGTGCATTCTTTATCATTTTCGTTATGAAAATCATTTGTTTTATATGCATAACAGCTCCAGGACCCCCACTTGGTCTACAACAGACAGCCATCACTCATGAGTCAGTCAGCATTACATGGCAGCCTCCGTCTCAAGCTGGAGTGATAACAGGCTACACCATCCAGTATGGTCCTACTGCAGACTGTACAGAAGCTCAGCTCACACAGACGGTGAACTCATCCGGCAGTGTCACATCGTATGTCGTCCCAAACCTGACCCCCTACACCGTGTACACCTTCCGAGTCCGTGGACACACCAGTGGAGGATCAGGGAACTACAGCAACTGTGTCACCACCAGGACGGCAGAGTTTTGTAAGTCCTTCTTGAAGAAGTAACCAGTAATGTAACATTCTTTGTGAGAGGCATCCAATGCAATTTCAGGGCAGCAAAACAAAAGAATATTCTTGATGAGGAAATCTGTCTAATATTGACATTTACTGCCATTTTCTAGCACATACATTTTTATCATCATTTCATACTTGAATTATTTGAAATATCCTAAAAAAACTGTGTGAAGAGTCCCTTTATATTTGGTATCACCAAATTGCCACCAAGCACAGTAGGGGCATCATCACTAGAAAGCTTTAAACAACTCTTGCAATCAAATGTGCAAAGATTGAGTGTAACAAGTCGTTCGGTGTGATATAGCTAGCTGCCGCCACACCGCGTGCCTGCGAAGCTGGTGTGTTACGCAAAAGGGCAGTTATACCTGCTATATCGATACAGATACAGATACAGAAATTGAATGAATGATTAGTTAGAACTTCAGCCTACGATGTGAAACAAGCAACTATTTTCTGTCAGCAACATTGCATTTCAGATATCAGCTCTAAGGGTTGATCCCTTTGGGTTAGTCTTTAACCAACTGCGTATTCAAAATCTCATGTAGCCTTTTGGCACTAAATTGGGTTTGGTAGCATGGAGGCATGTTAAAGGTCGCTCATCTCTTTGCATGACTGTTGCAGATCCCACCAGACCCTTGTCTGTGCAGTTTGCTGATGTGAACAGCTGTAACTGTGACACATCAGGCCAGAACAAAACCATCATGCTACGAGTCAGGTGGGCACGGTCGCAGAGGGTCAACGGAGAACTGAAGGGTTACACGTTGAAACTGTACTATGACAACCAGGTCATCTATGTTACAAACACATCCACGGCTCTTCAGAACAACCAGCTGGAGTATGTGATTTCTGGGAACGATGTTGGAGACCTTCAACCTGTTCAGAATTATTCCATTACGGTATGTGTTAGATAAAATGGGACAATGGCAATGCTTTATTCGAGATATCTTGCACGGTATTATATTTCAAGCTGACGTTATCATACCACATTAAAATGAGGCAAGAAGGAGCAATTTAATGTTTATTTCTCATATAGGTTTCAGCCTTCAATGATGTGTACAGGGGAGCTGACAGTGATCCTGCTCAGGCAAGATCAAGTGATGGGTGTAAGTAGTTATTTTAGTCTCTCCATTATTCTGTTGCACCACTTCAATATGACTATTTACATAATAGACAATAGTCTACAAAGTGTCTTCTAAATTCCAGGGATGCTTCAAATCCTTCAATTTTTAAATGCTGGTTTTCTATCATAATTACAGAAACCCGTGGACAGGTATGAATCAAACTGAACCAAATTTCTGTTGCAGGTCCGTCTGCACCATCTATTACTTCACATACCCAGGATGGACTGTGTGGGATAGACTGGACTGCTCCATCAATATCAACAGGAGACATTACTGGATACTTGGTAAGGAACATTTGGTCTTTATTTCTAAGGTATAAAGTAAAGTGTGGGGGCCACAATACATGCAAATCCTTTTCTGGTATAAATTCTCAGTTGATTCCATTAAACTTTGCATATTTTACATTTTGAATACAGGTGACAACGACAGCAACACAGCTGAATTCTGCATCAGTCTCAGTTGGTGCAGCTGAATCAGTGGGTTCCACAGATGTACAGAATCTGACATGGACGTCATCGCTGGATGTCTTCCCTCCAAACTCCTTGATCCACGTTACTGTCAGGGCCAAGACTTGTGCAGCAGGGGCCAGCAGTGAGGAGAGAACATGTAGGGTAGAACGTGTTGGTGGGTAACTGATAGAATACATATCAATAGCATACGTGTACCTTATTTTTTTACCCTTTTGATTTTTTATTATAGACATTATTTTTCCCCTCAACTGGGGGTTAGAGGTGCTTGCATCAAGTGCAAGTCAGGTCTTTTTTGAAGCAAGATTTTTTACGGATGGATGCCCTTCCTAACGCCAATCCAAACCCCAGTAGGGCCCAGGATCCCTCCAACTGAGGTGGGAAATATGTGTTAAGTGCCTTTCCCAAGGGCACATTGTCTAGGTGTCTGGACATGTCTGGGTCCCTGGGGATTGAACCTGGGTCCCCTTGCTTGACAGTCAGATGCTCTTATCCACTACACCACACAGACGCTTATCTCATCTGAATCAAAATTTGTAAACCGGGAAGCTCATCCTTTGGTGTAGCATACCAGCTTTCAGGCTGGTTTAATGTAACATTTCTCATCTACTCCCAACTCCTTTGATCATGAGAAAAAAACCCTTATTCTTGATGTGATCAACTCACCACACGTCCATTTCATCTGTGTTTCAGAGCCACCAGCATCCATTCCAGTCGTGAACACCCTGGACCCCTCTGCCTCGGCAACAACATTCACTATGACACTTCCAGACATCAACAGTCGAAACGGACCCATAAGGTATTTATTACTCACCAGAATTGGGAGCAAAATGTACATATAAATATATATACATTGTAAAGTGATTAGTCAGGTTAAATTATGGCAGACTGATTATTTTAGTTAACAGCCATTATTTTTTTCAGCTTCTCTCTCCCACGTCTTCAAGTTCAGTGCTGAAACATTTTTTCTCATCAAACTTCATTGTAAACTTTACATGTATCCACCAGTTGCTACCACGTCATCGTAGTGCCCATGGAGAGTGGAGAAAGTCTTCAGCAGCTGAGTACCAGGATGGGAGGTCCTGACGTCATCCTGACTCCAGATGCACCGCTGCTGGGAAGAACTACTCCTTACATTGCTCTGGCGTACTCCGGGTGAGTAAAAATGTGATTGCAAGATTTGCATTGTGATTTTATTTTGCTTTGTAACATTTTTATGACAGCTTTTCAGCACCTGTCACACATTCAGAACCTTCCCCCAAACACCAGCTGACGGGGAGCAGTCTGACCAGATTTATACCACCCCTACCTTTCTCTGCAAATCAAATCAAACTTGAGTTAAATTTGAGTCAAATTTGACTGAAAACCATGCCCGAAACTACTCCAAACATCAACCAACCACCAGCCATTCCCCACAGTCCACTCCTGAATGTTTGAAGCATTTTTGAAACATTTGCCTGGTGTAGTTGAATAGTAGTAGACCTAGCCCAACAGTAGCCAACGCTAATCATAGATCTGACATTCAATCTGATATTGCATGCTAACAACCAACTTCTTTTAAATTAACAAATAGAAACAACTACGTCAGTGGTGACATCACAATAGGAAGTGGAGAGAGTTGTACAGACCCGTGTTGTCAGTTTGAGGAGGTAGAAGGAGCTCCACAGCCAGACAACAGACAACTGTCACCAGGGTCTGCTTATACTGCTACTGTCAGGGCTTATGTCAGCGGTGGGAACAGGCGGAAAAGAGCAGCCTCACAGGTACAGTTTAAGTAATTATCTGCAAGTTGGTCATACCTGCATATTAGGTATATACAATAACATCCTGTATGTAGAATTTGATATTTCCGATGTCACTACACTATAACTGATTGTCTTTTCAGCACCAAGGAGAGAGGAATTACATAATGATTGTTTCATTGACTCATAAAACATTGTGGGAACAACATACAGTTTTAGTTGTACTTGTCACTTTAGTTGTTCAATCATTATGATACATGTTCCTTGTTGTAAAGACACTCCAACTTATTTCCCTCAGGCACAGAAGTCATCTGCATACATAACTCCCGTCACCACATCAAGTATATCAGGTACGTAATATATGAAATCATATCATGCAGTTGATTATTGCCACCAATTTTCATCATTTTGCATTTATGATGAGTTACTTGTGCCATGTTAACTTTGTGTGCAATGTATTAAAAATCATTGTTGTACATCATTGAAAAATACCTTGCATTGTCCTTGATTACAAAGGTAATCCAGATCAAGGTTCTTCAGTTGGAGGGATTGTAGGAGGGATACTGGCAGTTGTAGCAGTCATCTCTGCAGCAGCGGTGGCCCTGGTCTTGTACAGGTATCGTAAAGTTTTACTTACCTACCAACAGGTGGCATTGTGATGTTCCTCAGTATTTCAGGTTCACTGTATGTCTTCATTGACGCAGTTCTTTTATTTGTAAAATCACTAATTGTATAAACATATAGGGTATTCCCTGGTGTCCTGAGAGCCAGGGGTTTTCGTGTTTCTACTCACCCTGAGTGTTTCAGTATGAATCGTTTTACCAGGTTTACATGTACCTACTTTCTTTTCATATAACACTGTGTAGGAGACACCAGGCTGCCAAGGAAGATGACCTGGTTCCTCCCCCCCTCCCCCCAAGATGGCACGCTGGGGAAGAGGAGCTTGGAGGAGCTGTAGGACCTGCTACTCTGGACGACGAAGCACCTGTTCCCAAACCCAAGCCACTACTGAGTATGAAGCGAAGAAAATTCAGTGAGTTGGGAGTCCTAACTATCCTGTACAAAGTGAACCATTATGTTTGTAATGTGAAGAAGTGACCTTTAAACCACCTTACACCATCATGGTAGTGCTGCAATTAGCAACAAAGTAAGAAGCATGCAAGATTAAAAAAATACTGAAGTTGCAAAATGGCAAAAGAATGCTTATGTTAATGATCCATTTATTTTATACTTCTTCCAGGTTCCAAGAAAACACTAGACTTCCGACAGCCGATCCCCATTGAGAAACTGGAGAGAGAATTCAATCTTCGGCATGCTAATGACGATCAACTCTTCACACAGGAATACAAGGTTAGGATTTCTTACCTCTGATTCTTTTAAATGCCTTACAAGTCATCCAATAATTGAAATACATGTATACACTATCTACAATGCCCCTACTGTACTTGGTGACAGCGAGTTCCACTCTGATAGTTCTAGAAAAGAATGAAATCTTGAACACCTCAATCCTTGGTTGATCATGCATAACATATTACATTGTTTTATGACAGTCGCTGCCAGCACCATTTGGAAGAGAACACGCAGAGGCATATTATAACCAGGAAAATGCCTCCAGGAACAGGTTCAAAAACATCATTGCATGTGAGTGGAACACTTTGCACAAATATATGTTTGTTCATAGCATTGCAATATACATCATTCACTTAACATGTTGTCAAAAGTTTTCTTGTCTTTGCTTTCTAATCTAAAAGTCTTGTCTATGACAGATGACAATGGTCTAGTGACGCTGACTCCAATTGAAGGTGTGCCTGGATCTGGCTACATTCATGCGTCATACATTGATGTAAGTTTTCCCACTGTTGTTGTTTTTGTCATTTTATTTGCTTTTATGTCGATAATGAAAGTAGACAAGTGCAATCTGAAAGAGACACTGCAGATGGAAATTCTGGAAACAAACTATCTCTTGTGTTCTGTTCTTTACTGTGATCAATGTTTGCCTTTTGTGATATTGTTTTTCATTCAATATTTAGGGCTACAAAGAAGAGAGAAAATACATAGCGGCACAAGGTATGTAGCTTAGATTTAGTTTCACAATTCACAACTAATGTCATGCCATATTGTCAAACTGAGTGTAGCAAAATGGATTAAATTATTTGGCATGTCAAATTACAACATTGTGTTGTAATAATAATAGCTATGACTGAATGTCATCTCTTCAGGTCCTATGGACAACACTATAGATGACTTCTGGAGGATGATCTGGGAGACAGGTTCTACTGCAATCGTCATGGTAACCAACCTTCAGGAGAATCAAAAGGTGTTTATTACTGTATTATACTATTCTTTAAACCTTGGAGTTTTTTTTCTATCTTTAACTAGTTACATTGATGTCCTTTTTAAGGACTGAAATGCAAAGGGATATTTCAAAACCACACTGTTCATGCCATTTGACAATCAATGTATGTTTGTATTTATCCCATGTATACCTCTTAGAAACAATATCGGACTTGATAAGTAGTCAGTGTGATTTATGAATTAACATTTCTTTTCAGAAAAAGTGCAGCCAGTATTGGCCTGACAGTGGGGAGAAGCTGTATGCTGCTGACTATGAGGATGGTGGTATAACTGTGACGTTAGCTGAAACTGTGCCAATGGTGGACTATGTCACACGTGTGCTTCTGATAGGAAAGGTACAATGTATGGATATGATCAGACATACATGAATGGCAAAACAAACTTGAATCATTTGAAATAGCCCCCAAACAAGCTATGCTTGTGAGGTGGCACTTTATTTTTTGGGTACCGCCCATAAATAGCTAGAACCAGCCTGTGATACAAAACAAGCAACCATTTTCTGTCAGCATTTTTTTTTTTTTTGGCATTTTGCCTCACAGATGTCAATTGATTCAACTTTAATGTACTAAAAGAAAATTGACTTTGAAAGACTAGGTTTGCCACCCAAACATTACACTGTATGCCTTTAAGTTACATGTGTAAGTGTGTAAGACCTGCAATGCAGCTATGACAAAACAATATACATTGCTACAACTGAAGCTAACTTGACACTCCTACATTATTTCTTGCAGGGTGAGATGAAGTCACGTAAGGTCACTCACTTCCACTTCACCAGCTGGCCTGACTTCGGCCTGCCCAGGAGCCCCATGGGATTGCTCAAGTTCCGAAAAACTGTCATGTCAGCGCTTCCACCTGACTGTAGGCCAATCGTCGTCCACTGCAGGTTCGTAAAATTGCTATACGTCAGTTAAAACAGCATAGAGAACCTATTACAACGTGTCAAGTCAACAGTACTGTGCTCAGTTTTGTAGGAGAGATGTACAGTCATGTAGTACTGAGTGTTGAGTTACAGCAGAAGGTGGCAAGGTTGTCTTGTGGTAATATGGTTGTTGACTCAGAATCTGAAGGTTCTGGGTTCGAATCCAATGGCAGGTACCACTTATTGTGTCCCTAGGAATTTAGGCAAAACAAGAGGGTTACAAGTGAGCAATGCTGTATCTCAAATTCTGTACAACACCAAATGAACGTGTTTGTTTTTGCACAGTGCTGGAGTGGGTCGAACCGGTACCTTCATCACCGCAGACGCCATGTTGGACATGATTAAAGAAGAGGGGAAGGTGGACGTGTTCGGGTTTGTGTCACAGATGCGGCAGAACAGGAGTAACATGGTGCAGACAGCGGTAAAGAGATCTTTCCACTACTTTTCTACTACTAAGCAAACACAAAATCCATTATTTTTGAATTTCTCAAATCACACCGTAAAGCATTGTGCAAAGGTTTCATTTCTTCCGTAGTACTATGCAATTATTATCTTAAGAACCGTGCTTGAAGATTTGATTTTGTGCAGTGAAATTATAAGAAGAACAAGAAAAAGGCAGTGAATGATTCTCAGTCTATAATTGCTCTGCATTGTAAAAGGAACAGAATTATGGAACTTTTTACTATGGATTTATATTCTAATGATAGTTGTTTTTTTTAAACTTAAGAATTGCTTTGCGAGCCTCCGTAACTAAAGACCAGTGGTTGAGTCAATGCTCAACACCATGCCTTTCCTGTCAGAATTGGCTCCATAGAAACAACACTAAGTTAAACACAGTGTGCTTAAAGTCATTTCAGTGTGTCTCTATCCCTGTAGGCTCAGTACGTGTTCATCTTCAAAGCCCTGTTGGAGCAGCACCTGTACGGAGACACGGAGACTGAAGTGTCCAACATCCACCGCTACATGCAGAACCTGAGAAAGGTGTGTCCCGAGACGGCCAAAACGGGGATGGAGACAGAGTTTCAGGTACACATTGTTAGACTTTTTTTCACGTGTTGACTGTCAGTCTGCTATAATAACAAGTTATCAGAATATAAGCAAGTACATGACTTTTTTTATTATAGTCACTGTGCTATATATATTAGATCATAGTACTTCATGTTTACTTACCATTTGCTGAAGTCTTGTGTGCACTGAGACTTGCTTTCTACTGTATCTTTGGAGCATGTTTTTTTTTTGCTTTAACTTATTATTATTATGATCATGGTAACTTGTGAACTGTGATATCTTGATACAAAGAAAGAGATTTGTCATTGGCTATCTAGTGTTTATTTTTGATGCCCATGTTTTTGAGTAACTGTTGATTGTCTCTAGATCCTCAACATATTTCCTTGCATGTCTTTTTTTATTTTCAGAAACTGATTCGCATCCCTATAGATAAAGCGAATATGCGGTCAGGAAATCTTCCAGAGAACGTGTCTAAAAACAGGTTGCTCCAGGTCTTACCCTGTAAGTGTTTGGTATTTTTGTTACCAATTAGCATGTATAATAATGTCTTCAGTTTGTAAACTACATGTATGTGGCAAAATAAAACGTTCTTGTACCAGTTGGGCTAAAGGCCTCACCTACACAGATTGCTTCCACCATTGTCTTTTTTCGCAAATTAAAGTTAAGGTCAACCCCAATACCACAAATGTTTTAACGCCTTTTAACCCACTATGACTCTTACTTTCCAGATGACACTTCCCGGGTGATCCTACAGCACAGGATAGGTGTGAAGGGAGCAGACTACATCAACGCTTCCTTCATTGACGTGAGTGGATTTGATGTTGTACATGCATATGCTTGAACTTACATGTAAATTGAATCCTTCCTAAGTAATGAGACAAGTTTTTCACAGTCTGCTTTAAGATTTTTCAGTCCTCTGAATTTTGTTTGCCCCGGAGCAATGGCCAAGTGGGTCATGAGTTCGATCCCCAAAGACTTTGATCATACTGCTTTGATCTCTGCTTAGCACTCAGCATTTGGACTTCAGCAGCCCTCTGCTGTAGTGATTGTGCAACTGTGTTGCCCAAGGGCTATTGAAGGGAGATGGGTGCCGCTTGGTGCAGGAATGACTTTGACTTTAAACTTTTTTGTTAACTTCCTTGTTTTCAGGGTTACCGTCAGAAGGACGCGTACATCGCTACCCAGGGCCCGCTGGACCGGACTGTGGAGGACTTCTGGAGGATGGTGTGGGAGTGGAACTCCTGCTCGATCGTCATGATCACACAGCTGTGGGAGAAGAGTCAGGTACACTTACAGTGTAGCTGTCAAATTTTAATGAAATAACAGCATCAGAATAATGAAATCCTGGATAGTGAGTGAGTGATTGAACCAGAGCAATTGAATGAATTAACATCTTGCTTGGCTATTATTTATGGCAACGCCGATATCTCTACATATATGAGTATTTTTTAACATCTTTCCCACACTTTTCTGTGAATAGGGGCAATGCCCATCTCCATTTCCAATGCACAGAGCCACTACAGTAGCTTATATAGTATATTATAGGGTGCTTGTCCACTGGTAGTGCTGTGTTCCATTCCAATGTACAAATGTTATACTCTTTTCATAAGTACTGAGAAATCAGTAACTTAAGTATTAAGTGCAGTAAAAATTTCAGCAGATGAAAGCTGAAAAAAGCTAGTGATGGCTCATACATGCAGGTTCCAGGTTAACATCTAGTGTTTCCATGCCCCGCACAGTGCAAGTGCGCCATGTACTGGCCTGAAGAGGGACTGCAGTCCTATGGAGACCTGACTGTATCTCTGCAGGAGGAGACAGGCTTCCCTGAGTACACATTGCGTACATTTGGAGTCTCCAGCCATAAGGTATGACTGTGTCCTTTCAACAAGTAGAACTTGCTGTTGGCTATTGGCCTGAACATTGTCAACTAAGCAGTTTTTTTTTGTAAAGCACTGTCTGTTTACCTTTGATATGTTAAACTTTAATCATAGTTCTAGCCTCCTCTATCTCTTTTAATTATTTTGTTAGAAATACACAACTGTAACAATCTGAGAACTTTTCAGGTCTTATAGATGCAGGAGTGTTTGTTCTTCTTCAACTTTGTCGCTCGCTACATCTAATAATACATCTGGAAATCTTGTTTGGGGTCTTGTCTAATCACCATTCTTTCTTTCCAAAGAAGACTACAAGCAACATTTTACCAGCAGTTTACTAAACAATTTACCAATTGGTGTAACTTTGCCATTTTGCTTTATTTTAATTGAATTTCATACCACTGTGGATGTGTTCTTTGGTAATACTACATGTACACATCTTCGGAAACGGAGCCAAACCAAGAAGAGAAGACTACATGTATTGTAAGATTTCATTTCTCCCCCTCTCTTAGGATGGTACAACCCGGACAGTCCAACAGTTCCACTTCCACGGTTGGCCGGAGGTCGGTATTCCTGACAGTGCTGCTGGGATGATCGATCTGATTGGTCAGGTTCAGAAGCAGCAGCAGCACTCTGGGAACGGACCAATCACCGTGCACTGCAGGTACATGTATGATAGTGTATATTTGAACTGTCATACTTTATATGTCAAAAGAAGGAGGTTGAAAAAATTCTTGGTCAGAAATATAGCGAGTTTGCACAATGACAATGCCACCATTAGGTATTTTAAACATATTTTTCAGAAAAAGAAAGGAGAATTCGTAGTCCACTTAAATGTACTACTATTTAATGTATCTTTCTGTTGCAGTTCTGGAGCCGGCCGCACGGGGGCGTTCTGTGCCATCAGCACAGTACTGGAGCGGGTGAAAGCAGAGGGAGTCTGTGACGTGTTCCAAGTGGTGAAGGCACTCCGGCTGCAGCGGCCTCATATGGTGCAGACACTGGTCAGTACTGGGTTTACAGTTTAGAAGCACTGAAGAAGGAAATTTTAAGATGGGGCACCAAACAAGCCGTTGAAAATAGTGTGGGGTTTCAGATGACAATCGTCAGTAAGTAATATGTTTTTCACATCTGTTACATGTCTTACTTCACAGGACCAGTACCAGTTCTGTTACCAGGCTGTTGTGGAGTACCTGGACAGTTTTGACCACTACGCCAACTTCCGCTGAAGCGGACAGGTATTTACAGCTACACAAGCATCTATACTGGACAACACCTGAAGCCTCAACCAAGCATTGGGAGCACAGCGTGAAAGAGTAGAAATTGGCCAAATAGATGAACTGCCAGGGGAGTTGTTCCATCCTAATGGGAGCGGCAAACTGTTCTCTAACGCAGACCAACTCCCCTGGCATTTCAGCCGCTTCCCGAAGCCTGGCAGATGCTAGACAACACTGGCAACTGGAAATCACTGAAGATTGAAAAACTTTGGAGAAGATTTTTAATGACCCATCATTCTATGCAAAATTCCTGCATAATGGACAGGAGAATCTTATATATATATATATGCATCACTAAGTCTTTATATACAAGTAATCTGTAAATTGTCTTTATATCAGTAACAATTAACATTTAAGATTACCCAAATATTTACATGAACAGGCATTTTAAAGTACAAGAAAGCATTAAGTACTCAAAAAGTTAGATCAATTTTATATACTGATGTATATACTTAATACTTATAATGTATTTTTTTTAGATAAAAGTGAAATAATCATTGTATGCACTTACAATGTTAGTCTGCACACACCTTTGCAGGATTCAAGGATTGAGTGCTTTCAATATAGGAAAGGATCTGATTTATAAGATGTATATACTGTCTTTTAATTCATACAATCGTGATCATGTAGACAAAGAGTTAGAGCAGCTAACTTGGTTTTAGTGTGCAATAGGATTTAATAATTCAATTTGATAAATCACTCTATTGTACATGTATTGGAGAAGTATGGAATGATTACAACAAATGCAATCCTTACTAATGGCAATGTAAATTATGTGATTTTAGACAAACAACTGTTACACTTACCACAGACAAAGTTTTAATGTTAGAGGTTTCAAGAATTTGTATAGTAAGTAAAAGATGATGCCAAAACAAGCTACAGACTACCAATATGTTGTGTTTTTGTAAAAAGGTATTCATTCCTTTAAAGGCATTTAATGCAATTTCTGGGTGGCAAAACTGGATTTTCAAAGTCAATTTTCTGGTCCTGATACTAATTTTTTTTTTTAAGCAAAAAAATGCGATGTTGCTGATGTAAAATGTTCGCCTGTTTTGTATAGTAGGCTGGTTCTAGCTATGGGCTGTACCGAAAAGATAAAGAGGCACCTCACATAACTTTTTCTTAGGCTATTTCATACACTTCAGGTTGTGCTATGAAATGGCAGTAAATGTTGATATCATCCAGCATTTCCTCATCCAGCATTTGTTTTTGCCGCCCTGAAATTTCACTGGATGCCAGATAACAAATAACAGCAATAACTTGGTGTGTTCAAGTCTGGTCATCACTGTTGGACTCCTCAGAGCTCCCTGACCCCTCAGCGATCAGCTCGTCCCTCAGCTCTGTCAGGATGGCTCCCAGCAGGTTCTGTCCCCGCCAGGTCGCCCGGTTATGTGCCTTCACGTTCTTTGCAGACAGCCCGATGCCCCACTTTCTGTCCCTGGGGCTGGCCTCCACCAGGGTGGTACCTTTTGTCGCCAGCAGTGCCTCCCGTAGATGCGGATTCTGTGTGAACTGCATGGAAATATAATTATAAGGGGGATAAATGTTGCCAATCCAGCTGAATTTAGCATCAAAAGCATTGCCAGGAACCCCATGCAGACCCTTTATTCAGACTGGACAGGTTTTTCCACCTCCCAGACTGGACAGGTTTTTCCGCCAACCCCATGGAAAGGTGTAATGTTATATGGATGAATGCATCAAGACCTCTATTGTAAGCATATACCGTCTGGGTTAAGTACAGGTCACAACAAAAGAAAATTATACAGAAAATGTTACAGATTATGGCAATCGCTCATATTGAACAACGTATCATTTGCATTTTCCACATGGGGAAAAAGTGAGGAAAAATCATGCATAAAATGGCAACGTAAAATAAATGTTATCAACATATATGTACCTTTGCTCTGTTTCCCTCCTTCACAACTCTCTGACAGTGTGCATTCCAGACTTCATCATTGTAGTTGCGCACCTGGCGACCCAGCGCTTTGATTTGGGGCGGAACGTCACATTCCAAAATCTGCTGCCCGATTTCGTGGTCATCAAACAATTCTGAAAAACACGAAACAACGTTAACAGATGTAAGAGCCTTACATTTCTGACTCTTGATCCAAGTTTTTATTGCTTACGGAAGGAAAACATGTTGTTTTAGCTACGTTTCCTCTTCTCCTCCAAACTAAAAAGGTCAATGACCTGAACTAGATTGTTACCATGGTAACTAGTGTTGGGTTACATCATGTTGCAATTTTATAGCAGAAGGGATTTAGACTCCTGTCTCTGACCATATATATGTGAATGTGTTTGAGTAAGAATTAACAGAGCAGACTATATGTGAAGGTAAACATTATGCATTTGATTTGCAAATGTTACCTTTCTAGTTATTTCTCTATTGGGACAAAATACTGGCAGAAAACTTGTGGGAGATTGACAGGCCTTTTTACATACCTGCCTTCTGGTACATCATGTACTGTTCTGCACAATTGAACGCGACGCCATCGACCTTGAACTGGGCTGGGTGAAACTGACTGAAGGGTGAGTCCTTGAGGAAGAAGAAGGTGAATTGTTCCACTTCTGAAGGTGAGAGTGAATAAGAATATTTTGCTGTTAACATGAATGCAACTTTGTGAGTAAACAGCAACCTAGCTCATTTGTAATCACCCTTTGCACTGCCATTCTTAGTAGTGCAAGGGAAAAGCACCAGCTGTCAAGGAGGTCATGTAATGAAAAACAGCAAGCGCTACCAGCAGTAGAAGTGATTAATGACTTTATCAGCTTTGATGCACTGAACCCAACCATATCCATTACAGCCCATTGACATGCGGGAACACACACACACACACAGACCTACTAAAAACAATACCTCCATTATTTTTCATGGAGGTAATGAAGTCTCAATTTTCTCCTGCCCGTACTGAAGCCTATATCAGGATGGAATTCCTAACCGTCACGTGACCGAGATTTAAACTCACCACTGGTTGCATCGTCTGCACAGCCTGCCCGCTCAACAAGCAGCTCGTCCCTCAGCTCAGTCAAAATGGCGCCGAGCAGGTTCTGTCCCCGCCATTTGCTCCGATCCGAAGCCCTCGGGTCCTTCTCATGCAGGCCGATGCCCCATTTCGTGTCCTTGGGACTGGCTTCCACCAGTGTGGTGCCTTTAGTAGCCAGCAGCTTCCTTAGTAGGAGCGGGTTCTGAGTGAACTGGAAAAAAATTGTGATGATTTGGTCCACTGCAAAAAATCCTTCCTCATCCTATCCTATCAAAATCCCATCACATCTTAAAACATGCATTAAGGTATGCGAGAATAAAATAAAGAAATGGAAACTTTACTCATGCTTTAAAGTGCTTGAATATAGAGTTTAAAAATCCATTAGTGAACCAACATCTTCATTGTTGTCATAGTATGTGTGTCAAAATAAACAGTTTTCTAATTATTAGTATACCTTTGCTCTGTTTCCCTCCTTCACGACTCTCTGACAGTGTGTGGTCCAGATGTCATCATCGTAGTTGCGCACCTGTCGACCCAGCGCTTTGATTTGGGGAGGAACGTCAGACTCTAGAATCTGCTGTCCAATTTCATGGTCTCCAAACAGTACTGACATCGATGACAAACAAAAATAAATACCTGGTGTGACAGCCTTGTATTTTCACATGAATCCCTGTTCTATTACTAAATTTTCATAGAACGGTACAGATTTAGACAAATAGCATTTCCAAACTATGAAGGGAAAAGTGTTATGGAGTGTACTTCCTGGAACTAGAAATAACTAAGTATGGCTATGTTGATTTGATTATATGGATGACATTGTCAGGGAACCCCAAAACTGATGCAAGTGTGTGAAAAAAAGTTTGGCCCAAAAATTGCCTTCATTATAATTATCTATAGCAAATATTTGCTCATCGTGCTGCTGCTTTGTAGTCGAAAACTAAGGGATGAAAATTCATATGCGCAGGGATGTCATCCATATAATCAAATCAACATGGCCTTCCATGTAGTACATTTGTACAGAGTACAGGGCTATCACATACCTGCCTTCTGGTACATCATGTATTGTTCTGCACAGAAGTACTTGACATCATCGACCTCAAACCATGACGGGTGAAACTGACTGAAGGGTGAGTCCTTCAGCCAGAAGAAGGTGAACCTCTCCTTCCCTATCAAGTGACAACAGGATTATATTTTTGAAAACAGAAGAAGTACATTAATGTTTAATTTTATAATACAATTCAATTAAACAGCAGCAAAGTTAGCGTTACGCCAAAAAAATATATAGTGATATATATATTGAGCAGAAACAAGTCTCACTATAATAATAGGTCAATATGTACCATGCCGGATCAAAGAGTTGTCTATACAAAGTACACGTAAACTATAATACCTTCTTCGCTGTGGTCGCTTGCTGTTGCCATGACACTAACAGGCCTTAGGAACAAAATCCGCTGGGCTCTTCGACAGGCAGACTCTCCTGAACATAAAATGCTTCACAACTGATTGGTATGGAACTTATATTAATACCATTGCGCGTCCGGTTGTAAGAACCGATCGTTGCACAACCGATCGCAAGGTTTGATCAGTTTCGCTTCAGAGAATTCACTTCCGGGTTTAGGAACACACCATCTGGAAATAGGGGTCTTTCGTCATAAATTTTTATTCAAGCAGTTATAGATTTTCACTTTTTCATTGATGATACCTTTATCTGAAACTATTTTATACAACGATGAAGATTTTTATTTTGGCAATATTTGTAAACTGCATATTGAAAAGAACCTACCTCCACGATTTCTGGATCTTTCAGAAGTGGTTTCTCCCACAGCAAAGATGGCGACGCCCTTGTAGTGTTTAGACCGAAAATTTGCACTTTCCTGAAGTTTTCTTCGTCCTCTTCTCAATACTGAAGCGTTTTCGTACATCACAGGCCCGGAAGTCGCTGCGGTATTTTCTTGGTAAGTAACTGCACGATTATTTGTGGTCTTGATGAAGGCATGGCTCTGGTTTCAGCTTTTTTTTTTACCGATCGTCTCAGGCGTTATACGCGTTACCGGTTTCTCCGGATCCGGCTTTGTTTACTTTTCACAAATGATTGATACATACTGCATGCATTATTCTCTGTCAACTAACCTGATCTCATCCTTTACTAGATGTAGTTCGTTACCTTAGTGATGTACTTCGCGATTATTTCGACGATAGGATAAGTAACCGCTTGCAAGTTGTACTAGTATACAAGATATTTATTATACCCCCCCCACACACACACACAGTGACACACACAAATGCTAAGAATATAAACCTAATATTATATGAAAATTAAGTCTATGTGGATATAATTTTTTTTTCATTTGAAATTCTTCAATATATACTTTCTGTTCTCACTGTCCTTGTCAGTGTGCAATTACTACTTGCACCTGAACGAGAAGCCCGTGAGGGCATTGTTCAGTAACCTATGGATGTAGATGTAGATACTAATTAATCAGGCTTGTGCATGAACTTGCAATTTGAACATAAACTATTCCTTTCCCAGACTGAAGATGGCAGACATCCCGCCGTGGCTGGAAGACATCCTGAAATGGGCGGCGACGAACCCCTGGGAGTTCATCTACTACGTCCTGCTGTGCCTCTCCCCGTTCTTCTTCATCAGTGCCCTGTTGTCATGGAAACTGGCGCAGCAGATCGACGCCCGAGACAAGGAGAAGAAGAGGAAAGCCAAGAGGGAGGCCAACATCGCCAAGGCACGGGGACGGGCGAAACAGGACTGACACTAGTGGCAGTAGTTTGTAGTGAAACTCTGGACTGTTGCTTGTGATAGTCAGCCACTATGCTAGTACCATCCTGGATAGTTAAAATCTGTTTCAATAGTTACTAACTAGTGTGGCAACCAGGCTAGTTACCGGGTACCTTTCTATTTGTGTAGCATTTATTGGGATGTAAGCAGGGTGTGCTTTTTGATTTCTCGTCTAGTGTACCATTTTAGTTCCACCCCTTGGTAAGGATGTCATCATTGGTAGAGTATAGCTTCAAATGAAAGCTGTCAATCAATAAGAAGTTAACCTTTTTGCTGCTTGGTGACTTTTTAACACGAAATCTGCATTGTCTTATAATGGGATAGGCAGCAGGCAGAAGAACATGTGTGTGTGTACATTAATTTTGTGTCTTGATGTACATGATTTTTACTAAGCCATCAATTGATGTAATGTTTTCCTAACTGCAAATGTCATGTGTTACCTACCCTACATTCAGCAACAAAAAGGCAAGACAATGGATGTGTTACTGATTAACTGGATTATTTTGATGAAAATAATACAGAATTATGATACTTCAGGGTCCAAACAACTTTAAGTGAACTTGTTCTACAGTTACTGTAGGTCTGCCTCATGTGTGGAGTTTTGTGTATTTGCACTTGACAATGAGACATGTTTTCAGTGTACATTGACTTTGATAAAGTCACAGGGTTTATACTGTTGTGACCTATAGAACAGCAAAGTGATCAAATCAACTAAAATGCTGAGAGAAAATCATTGCTAAGAGCACTCCATTGTCCAATGTCATTCCATCCTTCTCAGCTGTTCCCGATAAAGTTTAAACACAGCAGATATTCCCAGTTTGTTGTCTAATTTGTGATGAGTGATAAAGACGTCAATCATGACAACTCTTGTGTTAAATGAAGTGTGTTAACTTGTTTGCAATTGTGACATATCGAAAAATTGTCACTGTTTTTTTAGCAGTTTTGTCCACTTGAATCATTGAGCTGATATCATGAACACACACACATGCACACACACACATCTTTTTTGTATTTTTTTTATTACATCTGAAGCAATTTTGTGGTTCTACTTCCTATAATCTCCTTGGTCTGACAAAAAGAATTCTACCCTTATTGTATCTGTGTACATATTATTAGTATGATACTATTTACACAACTACTCATACCTGTCCATTACATGCTTGTACCTTTTGGTTCACTTCAGGAAACATCATTTATATGACATTGTGCGATTTTCCCTTATTCACATCAAGTGCTGACCTCCTCAGACCACATTATATGAGACTGTATAAAAAGCTCATCAGGGATGGTTCAGACTTTTTTCAAACTGACTAAGGAGGGATAACAAAAGGTGTGTTCCTGATATTTCCCAAATACTGGTAGTCTTCAGAAAATGTCCTCCTGTCATGACTTTTTCCCCGGCACCCAGGCTGAGGGTTGAAATGTTCCACCTGTGCTGGTTTCCTGCTCCGTATCTGGCTTCTCATATGATGGGGAGGAAGCATGGCCTGGTAGTGAAAAAGGGTCAAAACTTTAACTGGAAGAGCACTGAGCTGAGTTGACATGATTGACAGAATTCAAGTGTTCCTCCATGGCACATTACAAACAGGTGAAATAAAATGAGCAAGTAAATAAACATTATTGATATGACAGACAGTAACGTTAAAGATTGAAAAATTCAATATCAAATAAATCTCAGTTCTTACCTGTGTGTACTTTAGGTGCTGGTCTTGCAACAAGGCCCTCTGGAAAACAAAAGGTATCTGTGTCACACTTGAAGTTAGCTTGGTCACAAACAGCACAAGATCAGTGACAGGACATGATCAAACCCAGGACCTCTTGGTTCAGAGTCGAACACTGCAGTTACGCCACACAACCCACAGAGATTTACAAAGGACCAAACCAAACTCACCGTCATATTCCTGCTGCTGCCTCTCCAGGTCCCTCTGTTCTACCTCCTGTCCTCTCTGTTGCTTCAGCAGTGCCATTCTCTCGTTCTTCCTGATCTCTGCATCTGTTGGAGGATCCTTTCTTCTGCCACGGATCCAGGCTGGAAAGAACAGAAGAAAAACAAAAGAAATGCATTAAAGTAACAGTGTACAGAAAACCAACTTTCAAATCAGGAGACCAATGAGTAGTTAACTTTTAGGATATATTAAGATAATAATAAACCAACTTAGGCTAACCTTCCCATTCCAGCGGTATGTCTCCCAGCTGGTAGTCCATGGTCTCTGTGGGGGACTCAGCCAGCCGGCGGCCCTTACGTTTAGTTCCTGCAGGAAAAAAAAAGTCAATAATTGGGATCTGATCTTAAGTGATTGAAAGGCAAACAGAAGTCTTTTCACAAAAGTTTTATTTAACGAAATTTCTATTTAGTGACTAATTTACAACAAAATCACACGATGACTAAACACGCTACACAGGTATATTAGCTCTGTTATACAAGAATATCCGTTCTGTTGCGTAATGCTCTGCAAGCCCTAGCAGACGACTTTGCCCCCCTCCCCACACGTCCCGACTGAAGAACGAAAGAAACTTCGGCTTTCCACACCTTCCGAAAACTTACCCAATACGGTTGTGCGTTCCGGTATTTCATAGTACTTATTTCCGAGGTGATCTACCCCAACAAACTTTTTAGCCGGCCCGACCAAGGCTCTAATTCTGTTGAACATCGTTCTTATATCACAGTAACCTTCCGAGTGTACTTCCTACATCCGGGATATTGATTGTTGTTGAAACCAAAAAATCGCCGTTAACTATGATTCCATTGGTCAAAATTTTAGCCTTAGCCAATCAAAAGCGTTGTTATATTCTTAGTTTAGTTTTTGCAAGCAATGGCGCTGTACGTGTGGAAATGATGTCGTCTTGCTTTCTTTAGGATTTTAGGCCGTTTCTCTCCATTTTGGCCGGTACTTTAGTGATGTATTGCGCGTTCTGTGATGCTCAACTTTCTGAGTTGTCGGGAGAATGGCACACTCGACCCGGTGGCGCTCGTGCGAGCCGAGACGACGCGGCGAACCTTCAGCCTGGAGCTGAGCAAAGAACAGGACGTGAAGAGGATCCACGCGAGCGGCGTCAACTCACTGGACCTGGACCCGGTGGAAGCGAGATAGTGAGTACGATTTAAACACTGGAGATCACAAAATATACAATACACTGAAGGGGTTATGAAAAAATTGACTTTTTACACTAGCTCCAAGCAGATGTAACGTTTTCGTCCAGCTGTTAGAGGAGCTTCAAGCAGATGTAACGTTTTTGTTCAACTGTTAGAGGAGTTTCAAGCAGATGTAACGTTTTTCGTCCCAGTTGTTAGAGTAGCCTGGCAGCTTGGATATACCTTTCACCTCCAATATCTGCTTGGATAAAAGTGAGAAAGCTTGTAGCCTTGTACTCAACAGTAAAGGAGATACACATTACTTACTAGTTGGTATGTCTGTAGATATTGAAAATGTTAAGCGTTTATGACTGTTTTGTGTGTTACAGTCTGTTATCGGGAGGTGCAGATGGAGTGATTGCTATCTATGACACACACAACCTGTCAGGAACACCCAGCAGTACAGCTGAGGCTGTCTGTACTGTGGGCAGGTAGGGCAGGCTTCCCTCTTTGAGGTGCTTTGAATTTGTGTCTTCTTCCGTACTGTTGAGCCCCATTGCTGGGTTTATTTATATTGCACATGTGTTATTTTATGAAACAGTGATCCAGAAAAGGTAAACATGAGGAAAAAAAACAGTCTGTCTAAAAATAGTAAAATGTAGCAGCCATAGAACATCATCCAATATCTGCTTTGGATATAAGTCACTGACTTATACGCTATCCTCTCTCCCCCCAGGTCCCACCGCCATGTCCACAAGTACAGCGTGGAGACAGTCCGCTGGTATCCCCACGACACGGGACTCTTCACGTCCAGCTCCATGGACAAGACCCTGAAGGTGTGGGATACCAACGTCCTGCTGCCTGCCGAGGTGTTCCAGTTCGAGGGGACGGTGTACTCCCACGCCATGTCTCCTGTAGCCAAGAAACACTGCCTTATCGCTGGTGAGCTTTATTATATTATACCGTAATATACATATTATTTTTTCTCACTTTCCTCTTCTCCAAACACATAACTTCATTAGGTCAATGACTTGGACCAGACTGCTGTCTCCATGGTAACGGGTGGTATTGGGTTACATAATGTAGCAGAACAGAGTTGGAGTGCCTGATCACCATACATGAATGAATGTAGTTGCTTAATGCATACATCTATGAAAAGTTTTCAGGACTGAGAAAGAGAAGTCATTATAGTTGTATACTATCATGAAAGTTCATCTGTGTTGGTAGTTACATGTTTAAAGTTAAGACTTTTGATCCAACACAAAAATTCTCTCACCTAAGTTGTATACTTGTATCTTGTTTTGCAACTGTTGTGGTATGTAATCAGAAATTTTGTTTCCCATCCCCAGTTGCCACTATGACCTCCATTGTGACCCTATGTGACCTGAAGTCAGGGTCATCAACACACATACTGAAGGGTAAGTTCTATTTATGTTATACTTAGTAGTTATCATGCTGTTTAGTGTGTAACTGTGGATGTCTGGAGCAGGTCATTTGGAAACTTAGTTGCACCGGCACAGGTATATACGTGTACTTACATTACTGTACAGTTAGTGATGCCCACAGACACAGACGGATTTATTATACAATTTTTTGCCCAGGTCACAGAGCAGCGGTGAAGTGTGCTCGCTGGTCCCCCCGGAACCCGTACCTACTGGCCACAGGCAGCCAGGACAACAAGGTGCTGCTGTGGGACGTGCGCAGCGCCAAGAGCAGCCTCATGTCACTGGACCAGCACAACGGGGAGCTGGCCACCAGCACAGCAGCAGGTCAGTAGGTCAGGGGTCACAAGGTCAGCTGATAGTACTGATCATTAGAGCAAAGGTCATCAGCGTGGCAACAGGTCAGTAGGTTAGTGGTCATAAGATCAGCTGTATTACTATTATTATGTACTACATGTATTTGTTCCAGACACTTACTGACCCATAGCTAAACAGTACAGGAGCATAACCTAAATATGTACAAATTGTTTATTAAAGCACAGTTTATTACTGTGTATTAGGATCAGCAGCACTGCAGCAGTGTAAATATGAAAGCTGATGGTACAGTTAATAGTGTTCTCCATTGATTAGATGTCCTTTCTTGATTTCTGCAGTGAACACGGCCCATAACGGCCATGTGAATGGCTTGTGCTTCACACCGGAGGGGCTCCATCTACTGAGCTTCGGCACAGACCACCGACTCCGACTGTGGGACACAGCCACCGGCAGGAACACACTGGTTAGTCGCATGGTCAGCCTGACATGTACAGCCATGCTATCGTGAAAGTTCATCTGTGTTGGTAGTTACATGTTCCAACACAAAGAGCTGTTCTCGCCAAGAGCTTTCGACCAGTCACTCTGATCTTCCTCAGTAGATTGACCCAGTGAGACTTGTCACATGTTATCTCTGAAGCGTGACGTCAACACTGGATCAAATGTATCTGGTAACGTTGTCGACGTCTGTCGCAAACTTGGGCCGCCAAAATTCATGCTGTACATTTGTATGTTGCTATATATATGTCAAAACTATAGAGGGGAGAAACATGAACATGAAGAGCTACAGTAAAGAGAGACAATCAGTATAAAGCCCCCTGCAAGCATGTCTCTTTGTACCCCCAACTGCTGGAGGTTTTACAGTGATAAATACACTGACAAAACAAGCTTTCCTTTTCCAGGTAAACTACGGAAAAATCAGCAATGAGAGTAAGAAGTCGGTCCAGTTCACGGTTTCTCGCGGCTCATCTCCAGACGTGGTGTTTGTCCCAGACGACAGTTCCATTGCGATGTTTGACGTGTTTGGCGGGACCAGTCTACACCGGCTGGTGGGACACTACAACTACGTGCAGTGTTGTGTCTTCAACCCCAACACTCAGGTAATATAACAAACAACACAAAGCAGAAAATAAAAAGACTCTTTTTCATGCAACCAAGCATTTTATTCTGCCGATGTTTCGCTGACCATCTGTCATCTTCCTCAGGGCAATTCTGACTGGTTCACATTGCAAGCACAGGTGTCGCTGTAATAGATGCGATGTTAATTGTTGCTCTGAACAAGGACTTTAAGTTTGGGAACACATCTGTAAGCAGAGACACTCGTGCTGTGCAATATGAACCAATCAGAACTGCCCTGAGGAAGATGACAGACGTCAGCAGAATAAAATGCTTGGTTGCATGAAAAAGAGTTTTTTATTTAGAAATACATTGTAGTTCTCTTTTTGGTCGTATTTCTGTGTCAGCAAGATAGTCATTACTTCTTCTTCATCTTGATTACCCCCAGATAACCCCGCGGGGGGTGCCGTTAGGGGGGAATTACAACATATCCCTTTGTCATGTTTAATATCTAATGTACTTTGTTTTCTACTTCAGGAGTTGTACAGTGGGGGGAGCGACAGTAACATCCTGGTGTGGGTGCCTGATCTGGGCAGGGGAGAGGACTATGAAGAGGCCAAGAAACAGGTTTGGATTCTATGTTAAAACTTTTTTGTTCCAACACAAGAGATTGTTCTCACCTAGAGCTTCAACAAGTCTTTTTCAACAGACTGACCCAGTGAGCCATGTCACATGGATTCTCGCAAGAACACAAGACTTGGGTAGATCTTCTGGCCTTTTGTTACCTTCTAAAAAGTCAGTAATTGAAGAACATATTCTACTAGCTGGTATTTATATGTGACTGATGAATTTCTTCAGGTGTATCAAGGTGTACTAATCTGCTTAGCCATCACCAAAATGTGAATCGTTCTTTCTTTTTACTGTTTTATAGAAAGCAGAGCCTAGCCAGAGGACCCAAAATGTTCAGGCATATCAAGACACATGGAGCAGCGATGAGGACTGAGGGGGTTCATTATGTGCTGTGGAGGATGGTGATTTCTGGGGATTGTGCAGATATAAACCTCAGGGAACTGTGTAACTGCAGTGTTTTTGTGAAAAGGCAACCATTGTAACAGTAATAATGATGACATTGCAAATAATGACTGTATGTTTTTGTTCATTTTAAAGCATACATGCACTTGAACTGTATGAACATGTCTTCAAAAGTATTTTTATTCACACTTTCAAAAAAAATATAGAGAAACAGTGCAAGGGAGACTGAAAGCTTCATTCAAAATACATGTATAACAATTTAAATACATCAATAAAACAAAAGAAATAAGGTGATATTAGTAAATGAAACAATATACATGTATTGAAACTAGCAGGAGCTCTTGTGGATTCATTATGTATTTATTAACTGTACAAATGTTTGAAAGGAATTTTCAGGATTGTCACAAGAGTTAAATGTAAGTGTAGATGTAGGTGTAGTTGTAGGTGTCTAAGGGAATTCTGTTAGAGAACGTATGGCAGGGCTGACCACAAGAGCAACTCGCTCCCCACAGAACACTGTATAAACAGCTCATGATAAGGACAGAATAAAGTTTTCCACCATTGTCTTTTCTGACAATCATGTGTTTCTGATGTGTGTGACAATGTGTATGTGGTGTGTTGTGTGTATGTGTGTGTGTCAGCAGCAAAATTTGAGAAGGCTCAGATGGATTATCTTTATACATGTATTTGATAGGTGGGTAGGTCTTGATGAGAGCTTGCAATGATTAGATTGGGAAGGGGGGCCCTAGCAGCATTTTATGGTACTGCAGTGCAACCTTCAGTTTTGGTATGTCATATTTTGGGGAAGAGTACGGATTTCCAAGTCCAGGTTGTTCCATCCAGTGATGGAATATAGTATCAAAGTGTTTCCAAAACGATTACTAGAAAATTTGATGGTTCTCAGATTGTTACTGTTTTGCAGATTGTAGATACAAGTCCCAGTAATTATGTATGCAAGGCCACAGCAAGTAAATTTTATGGATGCCATCCTCAGCAGACTCCAAATTTAATGCGATACCGAAAAAAAAACAAGGCGGGCTAAAAAAAAACAAGATTACTACATTTTCAATTTTATTCCAATTCTTTATTTCTATGCCAACATTACAGACATACAATATGGAATTATAATGTTGCCTGAATGGCATTTTGGTATTGGAATTTTACAATAATAAACCTTGTTAAGCAAGAAATTATACATGATATTGTGGTAGCCTGGCCTGGCAGGCACCCGGGTTTTTCCGTAAACCCTGTTGTTACTTTTTCTTATCCTCTGAAAATGTATGTGACTTGATGAAATATAGTTGATATCATTGTTGATATCCACGCTTCAATGTACTATATACTGTATATTTGTACTAAAACACATCAATCCCTCGCTTTTCCATGGGTATACTGTTGTGTCAAACCAAAGTGTGTAGTATACAGTATTGAGGCCACAACTGCAATACTTAATACATGGAACTGATGGCGAGTTCAGCACCAAGGAGAGATCCATACTCGCAATGTCCATTAACAAATGAGGGGGGATCTCAAGTTTTGGAATATAAACACTTTTGCTGTGGCAGAAGCTATACTGATCGTTTGGTTTGGCACGAAAAACAAGTTCAAATTTGGGTGACTAGAATAATTACTTTTGATTGGTAGCGGAATGGTGAGGGTTAATTATCAAGAGCAATAATGATTAATCTCGTTCGCACCCCTATGCAATTATCACACATGGTATGATCCGTTCGACCAGCTGTAGGCAGCTAGTGTGACCAGGCTTTCGTGCGGCGTGGTGTGCGTGAATTCTCTCCAGCTTTTGGGGTAAATTTTTGGCTTTTTGCCCGCAAATTCTCCGTCTAAAGTGTAGAGTATATCGTCTGGACGTTTCCAGGTCGGGTGTGTGCCGTTCTTTGGATGTTTGGGGGAGAAAATTCGCATTTCCTGGCGCTGGCGGGCGGAGTTTGGAGACTGGGGAAAATGGCGACTACCATGGCGGCGTGGTGCTGGAAAAAAAGACTGAGTTCTTGCGAGGTAAGACAACAAATTAACCCCTTGAATGTACATGGTTGTCCTTCCAACAAACCTGTAGCAACAGACCACGTTATAATTTGTTATTTTAACCCTTATATTCCGTCCAAATTTGAGTTCTTTGGAACGATATGTCGCGCACAATTATGGGTCATAAATTTTTGTACTTGAGTATTTTTAATAGAGTGGTTGATTTCATGACTATAATTGTGGTTTGGGGGAACACTGAATATATCACTTCCGTGTTGAGTGGCATTGAAAAAAGCTTAGATATAGGAGCAAATTTCGATGCTAAAACTTTCAAACACGTTTTTTTGTTGGAAATTTCCACAGTTTGGCCCAGTGAACACCTTTTGGAACGTGTACCGCACGTGTGCATAATTAAACCCACTCAACGTTCCCGCCAAAAAAAGTCGCGTACACAAGATTTCCCAAAGCTAAAATTAACTGGTTGCATAAAATATTATTTACTTCTGAGCACCCAAAATTAAATTTTTGCACAGGTGAAATTACTGTAGTTTAATTTCGGTTTTGTTGCTGGTTTATCCTTGCTTTTGAATCAGAGGTTGTCACGTTGGTATTTTACTGGATTTTATACTTCATTGCCAAATTATATCTGTTATTGATATATTATTGTATGAAGCAGTCACTGTGGTTGCACTGATCTGATTTTGAGAACAAACTTTGTAATCTTGGTCCTAATCGTATCATATGTATAGCTCAGTTAGTACTGTCTTTGTCTTTCTATTGTCTAATTGTACGCAACTGTGACCACCATTTTTGTGGCTTATGTATTTATGTTGTTCTTGTTGTTGTCCTAATGTTTATCGTCTATTTTTCTGCTAGACGTGGTCCCATGGTGGTGCTTTCTTATATCTGTGTTTTCTTGTGCTTGTTTTCAGGTGCTCTGCGCGTGTGTGTTTTGGAACTGAACCTTGTTGTCTAAATAAACTCTAATCTTCTTCTTCAAACCTGGCGGTGGCCTAAATGTATGATGAGAAGGTCTTGTACATACTGTAGTTAAGTTGTCCTCCCCCAAATCCTCTCTCATCCCTGCCTGCGTTATTATGTCCTCAGATCTTGCTTCCTTTTTTATGCCATATGCTTCAAAGATACTTTCGAGTCTTTTCGACTTCGTTCAGTAGGGTATGCCTTTGTTGCTCATATTTGCCACAGTTGTACATGAAATGTTCTGTGGTTTAACTTACTCCGCATTCCTCGCAGTTTGGTGACACTTTGGGGTCAATCCAGTTTCTGTATGCGTTGAGGTTGGTATGGCCAGTTACCATCTGGTTAATAATGATTTGTGTGGACCACTTCCCCCCAACTTTGCACTTTTTTTTCCTTGCGCCTATTCCAAATTTCTGTGTATGGCTGTGTCCTTCATGCATTTCATCCCTTCTTCTCCACCTTTCTTCCGCTTGTTTCTCAATATGCTTGAGAGCTTGTTGTTTTGTCCATACTATATTTGACTGTGTGTTCTTTGCTTCTTCTGCTGCCCATTTGGCATCTTTGTCCGCCAGCTCGTTCCCCTCCACCCCCATATGACCGGGACACCACACGATCTGTATATTCTGCCCACTGTCTTAGCTCTTGTAGCTCGTGCCTTATAGCGTGGACCAGGTCATTGTATGCTTCTATCTGTTGTGTTGTGGTTACACTTAGATTAGAATAGCTGCTTTGCAATCGCATAATATCAATCTTTTTCTTCTTTCCTTTTCTTCTTTCCAGTGCGCAGATTGCCAACTGCAACCCCTGAAGCTCCCCTTCATATTTATTTGATTTCTGTGCCACTGGTTTCCTCCGATTTGTTATGTGACAGTGTAGTTTTTAATACAAGTATGCAATTCAACAAACAAATCTACAATGTATATAGAAACCTTTCTTAAGCTTAATAACAGTGTAACAAAATTCTGTGTCATGTGTAAGGAAGAATATGACGTATTCACAGGACGTCATCGTCCTTGCCTCCCTTGCGCCACCATGTTGAGGTACATCCCCAACCCAGCAATGTTCTGCCAAGAAAGTCCACTGAAATTGCCACTTAGTGACTTACTCTCATCTGCCGAATAAACATACCCTTACGTTTTTTTTTTGCCCAAACGTCCTCCCGGTACGTTCTTATTTTGCATGGTACGTTTATTAATTTTTGGTTGGGACTAAAGTTGAATGTGGTTTATATAAAGTTTTATGTTGTGTGACATAATTTCTTGCTATAGGCCAATTGCTGTTTTCTATACACTGACTTTTGTTTCTCCCGTTTTCAATATGTGGACCTGAAGCCTGTTCTGAGCGGAAGGAAGAACCAAACTTTTATGGACAGAGCTGTGTGAAAGAAGATGGGGAGGTGTGAGTATGGTTTCTTTATTAACACGAGACAGGTGCACACACTTACACTCGCATTTCTCTCTTTTGGCAAGTTCAGTCTGTATGCCTTTTTTCCTTGAAGAGCCCTTTAACTTTTTAACTTTAACCCGCAACTTTAATCCCACATTAGGCGTCACTGAAAAATTCTTTGTATCGTGCCGTTGAGAATGCCAAATTGCCCCCCAAATTGTCACTCAAACCTTTAACTTTAATACCACGTCAGGCGTCCCTGAAAAACTCTCCGTATCGTGCCATGGCAAATTCCAAATTGCCCTCAACTTGTCACTCAAACCTTTAACTTTAAGTTTAATCCCACGTTAGGCGTCCCTGAAAAGATCCGTATCGTGCCGTTGAGAATGCCAAATTGCCCCCAGATTGTCACTTAAACCTTTTAAACTTTAATCCCACATTAGGCGTCCCTGAAATACTCTCCGTATCGTGCCGTTGAGAATGCCAAATTGCCCCCTACTTGTCACTCAAACCTTTAACTTAAATCCCACGTCAGACGTTACTGAAAAATTCTTCGTATCGTGTCGTTGAAAACGCCAAATTGCCCCCAAATTGTCACTCAAACCTTTAACTTTAATCCCACGTTAGGCCTCACTGAAAAACCCTCCGTATCGTGCCGTTGAGAATGCCAAATTGCCCCCAACTTGTCACTCAAACCTTTAACTTTAATCCCACGTTAGGCGTCCCTGAAAACTCTCCGTATCGTGTGGTTGCAAATGCCAAATTGTCCCCAACTTGTCACTCAAACCTTTAACTTTAATCCCGACATTAGGCGTCCCTGAAAAACTCTTCCCAACTTGTCACTCAAACCTTTAACTTTAATCCCGACGTTAGGCATCCCTGAAAAATTGTTTAATGCGTCGTTGAAAATGGCAAATTGCCCCAAAACTTGTCACCTAAACCTTTCTTTACACTTCTTTGATTGAAAGTATTCTGCCCAAAAATCTGTTGAACGATTTTCCCGCCAAAAAATCACCTAATTGGCACCCTCACCTGGTTAATTAATTGGATTAAGTTTTCCCGCCAAAAAACTTAGTATATGGAGCACTCTAACCTTGAACTTGTGCCCCCCTCCCACTCTTCCTGCCCACCTCCCACACTTCTTCCACAACTCAGAGTATGTTAGTTACACTGTTCTCTGGACTTCTTCGCACATGTAGTCACCACACTCTGC